CTCAGACTATCCAGGAGCTCAGTGATGCCCTGGTGCAGATTTGGGAGGAGATCCTCCAGGATGCCCTCACAATGTCAGGGCATCCTCCATACAAGTTTCTGTTGTGATAAAAGTGATAAAGCAGGCTGTTCTTATGGTCCATGGTGGTTATGGTGGTAAGCGACTCAACTTCCTGTTGAAATGGATTTAAAGTATTAATGAAGGTGGCAAGGTTGCCTCTCCGGTGGTCCTCCTTGGGCTTTTGCACTCTGCGGGGTCTGTGGATACCCTGGCCTGGGTTTCCTCCATGTCTGCTTCATGCTCTTAGGGGCGGGGCTATGGCTCCCCACACCCCTCTAGCAGATCCTACATGATAAACCTTTTGAACTCAAGCACGCTCCTGCACACAGGTGTACACACGAATGCTCACTGACACAAACTATATCTTCCTTGGCTACTACCTTAAAGCATATCGTGCGCTGTCAGTCTTGCATGCTGCTCAATAACATTCAATATTTAGTATTTACTCTCACAGGTATCTAGGTTGTTACTTTGATCTCTGTATCGTATTCTTCTCTTGTTGTTTGTTTTCTTTTTTCTTATTTTAGTAGTGTTGCAAAATCAGTCAATGAGAACCCCATGACTGAACCCCATGACTGAACCCCATGACTGAGAACACTTTTAAAGCATCAGGGATACCGCCCCCTTCATGGCGTCAATTACAGATCAAAGATGTTGATTACAGTAAATGGTACGTCTTAAATGGCTAAAAACAGACACAGAACTTCCTATTTCTATAACACCTTCCATACATGGCAATGAACTTCAAGCCTCGAGGGTCTCTGAGGGCTGATCCTTGACTCCGGCCATCTGTTACCAAGTAAACTACAATGCAGTTAGAAGCTAAATGAATTTCAGGCCTTGGCCTGGCAGGTGTATGGATTCTATGTGTTTGTAAGCGTGTATGCTGCCTTCTATGCTCTAAGTCTCCTACACAATAGATTGTGAAGTCATAGCGCTTCACAAAGCTTGAGACCTTCTTTAATAGACTGAACATCAACTCTGAATGAGCACAAACATGCAACGTGTATAAGATACTTCTGGCTGTACCTGTAATAAAAGGTTAACGTGGTGTCAATAGCTTTAATAAACATCTTTAATGCAATATCAAGGATATATTATTAATGCAATGTTAATAATGCAGGTTATATTCTAGCAGTAAAATAATTTTCTGTATCTCCACAGTAGGTGATCCAACGGATTTTCTCAGTGTCTTCTCTTACTGCCCCCCTTTCTTTCTTTCTTTCTTTCTTTCTTTCTTTCTTTCTTTCTTTCTTTCTTTCTTTCTTTCTTTCTGTCTAGTTGTCTGTCCAATTTGTAATAAATAAAATAAATAAATGAACAATAATAATACAGATCAATCAAGTGGACCACTTGAAAAAATAAATCCATTGGGCATCTTTCCTGCCCTTCAGACAACAATTCTGATAGCTGAACAGGACAGGCACCAAAAACAAACAAACAAATTTATATGAAGTGAAAACTCACACTTTCCCCTCACAAGTTGGATTACTGAAGAACAAAACTCACTATCACAGTCTACCAATAGAGGGCACAGTTGTATTAGTTAACTGCTCTTCTTCTCCTGCCTGGTTGTATCCTGCTCATGGACTCCTGCAGGATGCCAGCTTTAGTTCTCATGAGTGTGAATTATTTAGTTTGAGTGGCTGTGATGGGACAGAGATAAAGAAGAGGGTAGAGGGTGACTCTGAAAGAGCTCCAAGGCCAGTTGAATGTGCCTACCCAACTTCTCAGGTTTAAGTTGGAGGTTTTTGGTTTTTCTCAAAGTGAAATACAGGCCACCTGACAAAATGATTCCTGTTTTGACAAAATAATTACAACCGAGGAAGTCAATGTAATAAAGATCATAAACACAGACAAAGTGTTGTCACTGTACACTTAATGTGTACAGGTTTCACAACTGAGCCATCTAATCCCACCACACATCATATTTTGACAGGCTACCTCTGTTCCAGCTACTTACTTTATCTTTTTCACCTGAGGGGAGGACTGGCTTCAGTTGCTATAACACCTAACCACCCAATAGGCTTGTGAAACATGACCCTGCCTTCTTACCTTTCTGTGTGCCTGTTTACATTCATTTCCTCAGCAATACCCAGTGGCAGCGACTTTATGTGTTTGTGTCACGGACGCACAGCTGCCTGTTCCCAGACCCTGATGTGGCATCTGATCCTCAAAAATAAAAAAAAATATAACGAGAAAAAAAAAAGCCCTGCAAACATCTGTCACATGAGTCAGCTGAGGTTAGACATGCGAAGAAGACAGAGGGACTCCACACCTTACAGCTGTAATTCACTTAAGTCTCACATAGTTTAACCGAAAGCATCATTAACGGTCCTATCAGACTCAGTTCTTTGTTCTAAGTCTCCTAATCTTGTGGGGATGGCCATCAGCCTTGGAAAGCCAAAGCAGTGCATCTTTAGAGGAACCCAAAGAAGCTTAGTACAGGGCTTTACAGTGAAAGTCATTTATCAAGAACAACCTGAGAACTAAGTATGAGTAAGATTCACTTGTGGCCATTTTATTAAGCAAACCTGTTCAATCACATGTTTATGTGAATATCTTGTTTGTTTCTTTGTTATTTTGATCATGTAAACAATATAGAGAATTTCATTAGCAATAAAGAGAAAAATAATGCTAAACTAAAGCAGAACACATTTCAATATCGCTTCACCTCTTCTTATTCAGTAATATGGAAAAGGAGTGGGAAGAAGTGCAAACTTATTAAATCCCACCGCTTCACCATAAATTATACGTTAATATTTATTCAGCTTCCTTACCGATATAATCTGCCGTAATAATAATGATGAGCTAATCACATGGCACCAACTCAATGGACAATCTGGTGAAGTTCACTCTGAGCATCGGAGTAGGGAAGAAAGGGCGTGGTTGTTGGTTTGTTTCAGAAACTGCTGATCTGTTGGGATTTTCCCCTCACACAACCATCTCTAAGGTTTACAGAGAATGCCCGAAAAGGAGGTCTGCCTCCTTTGTTGATGTCAGAGGAGAATGGATAGACTGCTTTGAGCTGAAATGAAAGCAATAGTAACACAAACAGACTAACATGCTAACTAAGGTACGCAGAAGAGCATCTCTGAACTCACAATGCGTCATGTGCGTGGCCTCAAAACTTTTGGTCAATAGAAGATAACGATTGGATGTCTGTGAAGGTTCTCAGTCATCCAGGTCATCGTAGTCTAAGGAGCTTGGAAAGAAAGATCAGAAAGAAAGATCCACTACCTAATCACATGAGCCAAATGTCAACTTTGACATCCTCGAAAGAGTGACCTTTTGACCCTAGAACTGAAGAAGCTCCTCGGATGAAAGGTGAAACGTCTTCAAGCAACTTAAAGAAGTCCAGACACTTTTCTTTCCAAGCTCCTTAGATAACGATTGGATAAACATTGCCTGGTCCGAATTGTCTCGATTTTTGCTGCAACAGAAATCGTCATAATTGGCATAAACATCATGAAAAAATTGATTCATCCTGCCTTGCATCAACAGTTTAGGCTGGTAATCATGGCGTAATGGTGTGGGGGACATTTTCTGGCATTCCTTGGGCTCTTTAGCTCTCTGTAGTCCATCCTGCTTCCAGCAGGATAAGGCACCATGCCGCAAAGCTGAAATCATGTCAAACTGGTTTCTTGAGCACAACGATGAACACACTGTACTTTGTCGGCCTCCACGGTCATCAGTTTTCAACCCAATAGAACACCTTTGGGATGGGATATGGTGGCATCATGGATGTGTAGCCAAGAAATCTGCAGAAACTGTGTGATGCTGTCATGTTAATATAGACTAAAACCTCTGAGGAATGATGAATCTGTAAGTGAAAGGGAGCCCAACCTGGTACCAGCATGGTGGAACTAATAAAGTGGCCAGCAAGAATCATGTCATACAAATGTGCGTAAAACTGGGAGCTCAGACCTTAACCCTAAGTGTAGAACTATGAAATGAGTAACTTCCAGTTTGTGTTACTCATCATTTGTTAAACCGCTAAACGTTGATGTTACCACATTTGCTTGACTGGTGCACATGTTTGAACCAGCCATGCTCCCTTCCGTCAAACAGACACGCTAAGACAACGCAATTTAAAAATTCATCATGTCATTGTTTTTTAATTTTACAGTCATACAATCTTTTTTTGTTTCTTTCCAGTGTCTCAAAACCATAAAAAATAAATATACATTATGTTACAAAACATTTCCAGTGTCTCAGATTATACAAAAACACACATCTTATCAACAGCATTGATTACATAAGGGCAAAACACTGGGCGTGTACAGGATGTAAGGTACAAAGGCATTTAGCGACTGTACATTGTAAAATGACCTTTTACTAGCTGCATAATGCTTCAGAGCTGCTGTCATTTTCAGTTTTAACCCACATTTGAAAACTTAGCGATTAAAAGGCAGCATCAATTACGCAATTTCTGAACAGACCCGCTCAGTCTGTTTCTTACTTTTACACTACAAAAGATCAACAAATGGCTTTTTTTTATTTTATTTTAAAGATTCTGCACTAAAACTGAGTTAAACCGAACTGACGGCCAACTCTAATCTGCTTATTCACCAGATCTCATGACTTTGGTAACCAGGAGTGTGTCTTGCATTGGATAAACAGGCCCGACAAACACTGGAAAACAAGGCTTCAGGTTCACAGTGCTCCAACTGCAAAGCTGAGTTTTCAGCAGAGGAGGAATTCCTCTTCATTCCACATAATTAAAGTTCATTTACAGCGTACTCTTGCGTGTGTGCATGCACTCAAACACAACAGCAGCAGCCTGTGAATGCACCGCCGTAGAGTGGAAGTCCACTGTAGCCTTTTACAGTATTGTGTGAGCTTGTAAGGCCTCGGTGCAGCATGAAGGCACGCAGCGCAGATTTGTTGTTCTCTGACTGTTAAACCGGCGTACGATGTGATTTCTGTTCTTTTTTTTCCACTACTGTGTTCTTGCTAAAACTGACATAGAAAATAGATCATTTCTTCTTCACTTTTTAAAATTATCTACATGTTACTTACACTCTAAATACACTGCACCGAGAGGCTGTGGAAGCCTTTCTTTAATTAAAACAAAAAAGAAAAGCACTTTGTGTTTCATAGCTCTGCCCAGCATGAACTGGAGCATGTGTGTGTGAGACATCTGAGGGACCTGCAGTCTTTGAAATCATTTTACTGTGACGGTACCAGCCTTTAGAGGTTCGTGAACAGTGATTATTACATCTGACACTTTGCTAACTTCACCTAAAGAAACAGAACATAACGATGTGCTCCTCGCCAACACTAGAGAAGAGCTTCATGTTAGGGCCCACAATGCATTCTGGGTGTCATTCTTCATCTTCCGACTCTTCCTAATGATTTCCATTAGTGGTTTTGGCACACGTGGCTCAACCGTGTCTTTACACAGTCCAGCACAGCATTCCCTTTGTTATCGCTCACATCTCTGCTTATTTTCTCATCTAAGGCAGTCCTAACGTCTGCAATTAATACTGCTCGCCCGAGAAAGGAAACATGACGGGAGCGGCGATGCTGACAGGATCAGGCTTCTCTTCATCCATCCTTTAACACCTCTCCATCTTGCAACTTTTCCTTTCATGTTCCTCGACTCTTGGTCCCCTCAGCCCCGACCTGGCAGGTTGTTTAGCTCCTCCTCTCATAAAGGCAGGCTGGTCTGGGTTTGCCTAACAGGTCAGATCGAAGTCTCGTTACTGCCACTGTTAACAGAGGGGAACAAAAGGACAGGAGGGAGAGGAGAGGGAGGGGGATGCAAAGAGAAAGAAAAGAGGGGAACATGCAAGGTAAAATGAGTGCAGGGATGCGGGAGGGTCCTCATGCAGCATTTAATCAGGATGGTCGCAGTATTTCATGCTCGAGTTAAAGGAATATAGTCATTAAGAGGATTGTTAACACATTTACAGTTTAAAAACCAGGATAGCTTTATCCCAGTTATACTGGACATAAGGGTGCCATCAGTTTTCTCAACTTACTCGCAACAACAAAGCCTTTATGATGCATGCAATATTGCATTAGTTGGCACTGTGATCAGCTTGATTGTTGCTCATTTAACTGTAAATAGTGCTTGCTTGCAAGGTTTTTAAACTTCTACGATCACTGTTAAACTGATTTCGAATCTTTTATTTGTTGGACACACGCTCAGGTGTACTGAGCGGCACCGTTAGTGAGACCTCTCAGTTTCACATACTTGAGGCGTAAGGGTGCACTGTAGAAAACTGCTCAACATCAATTTCTAGGGGGTTAGACAAAGTGCCCCACATTTAAAATGTCAGTCACAATAGGGCCACACTCGTTTGTGTAAAACTGTCATGGCAGCACCTCGGCAGTTTTGTAAAACTTGCAAGCGTCTACAGTCACGGGGAGTCTGCAGCAACTTCCAGAAATCACACTGCAGTTTCCCCTGGAACTGCATGTATTAGTCACTACTGTTACCATTAGTGCTAAAAACAAGCAGTATTCTTTTCTTACTCTGAGTCTGACTCATTGCCTCCGTTGACCGTCCCAGACTTCAAGTGCATGGCAACTCCGCCATTTGTCTCCCGGTAGATACCCCCTGGAGGAATCTGAGGTCGTGGGGCGACAGGCGGTTTGATGGGGGAGCCGCTCTCGTGGTTGCCGAGTCGGCTTCCTTCGTTGGCCTCCAACGAAGGCGTCCGGGACGACGGGGTCATGATGTTGACGGAGGGAGGGGCTGGGGAGGTGGTGTTGTTGTTGTTGGGGGGAGGGGAGGTGATGGTGGGCGAGTTGTAGTCGCTCAGCTTCTCCCTCAGACGGTTCTTCATGTTCTTGTCGGTCAGCGGAGGAGGGTAGCTGATCTTGTTCTTCAAGATGCCTGAGTGAGACGAGTGATTTGTGTGAGCAGGCGTGACATAAAGTCGATTCAGATCGGCTCTAAACACTTCTCCCCTCACCTTTTCTCTGCTCTGGCTGGTGGTTGCTGTTAGGCTGACTGGCAGGCGCTGAGTCTTTCATACTGGTAGGAGTCTGTCTCTCTCTCTCCTGCAGAGCCTCCCTCTCTCTTTCACCAACGTGGTTGAGCTTGTTCTCTGGGTGCAGCTCCACGTTCACCTTGGTCTCCACCCTCAGCCTCTCTGTCCCACCGGGGTCCTCGCTGTCACTGGCTGTAATGGCATCTGTTGGCCAGTAAGGCTTCACGTGATTAGATGTTGATTGCCCTGCTGAGAAGGGAAGAGAAAACTTCAATTTAATTCAACATCATATGAAGAAAAAGTGTTCATTAGAGCAAAAAGATGATATCTTAAAGGCACAGTCGATCATTTTTTGATAATTTAACGGAAAAAAACAATGCTACGAGGGCAATCCGAAAAGTAAGGTCTCCTATTATTTTAGAAATACAAACAACCATTTATTTTCCATAATATTTACATCATTTTAAAGCTTAAAGACTTATTTATTTCTATAAATAATCGCTATTTCGGTCGATGCATTTTTGTAAACGCTGCGGCAGTCATACCCTTGTAGGGTGGGGTGGGTGATGAAGTTCCAACCAAAGTTTTGCAGGAGAGCGACAGTTAGAGCAACGTGTGGACGCGCGGTGTTGTGGAGAATACTTACGCCCTTGCTCAGCATTCATCTTCTCTGGTTCTGAAATGCCCTTCTCAGATTTTCCCAGTACCTGTCAGCATGTATTGTGGTTCCAACAGGCAGGAAGTAAACCAACAATACCACCTTTTGGTCCCAAAACACAGATGCGCACTGTGCGTAAGCATTCTCCACAACACCGCGCGACAGTTTGCTCAAACTGTCGCTCTCCTGCAAAACTTTGGTTGGAACTTCATCACCCACCCACCCTACAGTCCAGACTTCGCACCCAGTGAGTACGACCTGTTCCCAAAGTTGAAAGAACATTTGTCCGGAAGGCGATTCTGCGGCGGCGGCTAGCGGGTATGACATGGGCATTGTATAACTGTCACAGAGTCTACAAAAATTTATAGACCGAAATAGCCATTATGTAGAAAAATAAACAAGCATTTAAACTTTAAAATGATGTAAATATTATGGAAAATAAACTGTTGTTTGTATTTCTATAATAATAGGAGCCCTTACTTTTGGGTTTGCCCTCCTATAACAATGAAGAATGCTCATAAATTATTAAATTATTAAAGTGAAAGCAAACTAGTTCTCACAAAATGTCATAAAATACGCAAGCTTATTTGTGTCCAAGTTACATGTACTTCAAAGAGAGTTTCACAAGTGCCAGCTAACAGCAGCTAACAGAGGCTAAGAGGAGCTAACAGAGGCTAAGAGGAGCTAACAGAGGCTAACAGCATCGCTTACCAACAGAAAAGTTGCTCAAAAATCCTCAAAAACTCACCTCAGTATCACTGTCGTTGGACAAAAGTGAAATTCACTGATTTATATCAGACTCCTTTCAAAAAGTTTTACAGTCTTGCTCAGAGAAAATAAATGTGGACACTTTTCACCCTGCATTGACAGCTGAGGTAAACAGTAGACTAACTGACAGCCTACACAGTTACTTTGTACACTACAGATGGTTTTAAGGTGACAAGGGGTAAAAACGTATTACTGCAAAATATATAATTAACCACATCTAATTTTTATTTCCCAATTTATTGCCGATGTAACAGAACTCAGCTGACAGTAATCTGCAATCTACTGAATCTTCTGCAATCTGTAGTGGGGAGAATTTTACACGCTGTAACTTTAAGAGACTTATGCATTTACCTTTTGGAGTGCTGTGAAGAGGCCTCTCGTTGTTCCACTTTGGCTTGACATCAATATCATTATCCTCGCTGTCGGAGGAGTGGGAGGAGGCATAGGAGGAGCTGTGTTCATCTACTGAAAGCTCGCTGTCTGAGTCAGAGTCTAATTGAAGAAATGATGGCGAAACAGACCAGTGAACAAATACAGTACATCAGTAAAACAGACCTGGAAATGAAACATTGGAAATGCAATTCAATATAAAAAGCTTACCATCTCCTTTGGTGCCATTTCTATGGAACAGAGGTCCATCCAGGTCCGTGTGGCCTTTAGCTGTTCCTGAAGAGCCACTGGGCTTCTGACCAGACTCCTCCCTAGAAAAACCAAGGACGGCATAGGCAGGCAAGAGAGAAACAGGAGCAGATGAACAGAGGTGTAGATTTAGAGGAGACACAGAGGGGAAGTACATCATTGCTGGAAGTTAATTCAAGCCCCAACTTGTGGTTTTACACAACTGATGTTTAACAGCTGATGCAGCAGACATCTCTCATTACAAAACATCTGGTACTGTTGATTGCCTTGACACAGACAAAGCGAATATGACATTTATTTTGTGTGTGCTGCTGTTTGTCTAATGTCAGAAAGTCCCAGCTTGATCATTAATACTGAATACAGGTTTACCCTCTCTTCATCAGTTACCGGTCGTGGTATAATTATTGCAAGAATTCAGAATTTTAGCATGTTTAGTAATCATTTAATGGATCAAAATGACAAATGGGTAACGTTTTTCTCTCCTCTCCCGTCCTCTCTGTCTGAAGCCGTTTATTCCAGGTTGGAATGAGAACTTGGCTGGAGGGCAAAAACTGCTACTAGAGACTCTGACCTGTCTGATGGCTGATCTAAGAGAAGCTTCTGGAAGCAGCTGAAGACGTGCCAACAGCTCCAGGGAAGAGGTATGCACGTCTACATTACATTCCTACCTCAACAGGTATAATTACATCCCCCCTTCGTTTCTGCTTTTTTCTTTCCACATCTCTCCATTATTTTTCTCCTCTTCCTCTCTTTATAGTTTCCCCACTTTTTGCTCTCTTATCTGCTTCTTTCTACGCCTCACCTACAGGCAGCTCGCCACATTTCTTCCCCCACAGCGTTACTACTCTTATTGACCCTAGAGTCAGCTCTTATTACCCAGATGACAGCTTTACGGGCTAGGCGTACAGTCAGACGAAAGTGTGATACTGTAAAGCGCTTAAAAACACCAGGTATATGAAACACAAGCCTACTGTAATGAAAGCATGTCAGTGAACACTGAACAGATACAGCTTGTAGAAGAGGGGAGATTAGCTTAAGATAACAAACATCTATATTTTGGCGCAGATTCATCTTTCAATGTCAACCTTTATAGATATATCGAGAACACACCTGTCACACAGTCAAACTTAGCTTTCTGATTTAGCTGTACTGCTCAAGATCAAACATGCTAGTAGGCTGTAGCTAGCTTGGACCACAAAGCTATATAATTATTATTGTGATGTATTAATGTTATGTCTTTAGTAAGTTCAGTTTGAAGTACAATAATTTCCAGCAAATCTCAACTGCAAAACATTGCAATAACGCATGTATTTAGAAATGCCAAGCTAAAATTTTACTAGCTAAACCGGCGTTACTTTAGCAACATATGTAAAACTAATGGAGTTGGCAAGAACACCGTGACGGTTAAATTTTGAGATTAAATTTCATTCAGTCTTATCATCTTATACCAACATGTGCTCACTCCCAAAGCGCCAGGTGACAAATCTTCAGTATATTACGCTTCTGGGCACCCAACACGTCCCCATATTACGAGATTGGAAAAATGATGAAACATGAGAACCATTTGGAATGAATCCACACATGTACGTTTTACTTAAATCGTTTTGTAAAACACTATCTAACGTCATTAAAGTGGTGGTTAAGGTTAGGGATAAGGTTAGGGTTAGGGCTGGAATACATGGCTGGAACGTCTATTACCACGGGATCGTCGTTCTACTGGATTTCATCCACAATCCGGCGGGTAGCATAGGAACGCGGAAAGTCGCCTTTTGCGTTCTCATGGAAATCAACAAATCGCCGGTATATTACATCTCAGGAGTGAGAATGGGCTCCTTATACATAAACTCTAAAGCACATGGACTCTGTCTCCTCTGTGCTAAAAACTAACGTGAAGTACAATAGAAAAGAAAGCTTTACACATTTTGGCAGCACCTACAGTGGTGTGAAAAAAGATTTATGTCTAATTTTTTGCATATTTGTCATGCTTATGTTTTAGATCAAAGAAATTTTAATATCAGACAAAGATAAATCGAGTAAATACAAAAGGCAGATTTTGAATCATGATTTCTTTTATTAGGTTTGGCTTATTTCCCTTAATAAATCCACTCATCATTTGAAAACTGCATTTTGCATTTACTCGGGTTAGAAAGGAAGCAAATACTTTTTCACAATGCTGAGGATAAAACTAGTGCTTTGCAAAACAATTCTACCTAATGCTACAACCGCCATCATGAAAGTTGTAATATTTCATTCCATTTTTTGTTAAAAGCACAAGAAAATCATGTGAATGTTCAACACTTTTAAATCAGTCACATTACCATGAAATTACTGCATTTGCTGCTAAAGCAATAAACATACGTTTGTACTATAGAAAATGTACCACATCAAATTTCACATAAGCAATAGTAGAATCTAATCGTCTAATTTAATAACACAGTAATATGGAGGAATATATGTCTATTTGTGTGCATTTAGTTTTTTGCAAACAGGCCATGCGCCATGCATTGGCAAATGTCAGTAAAATTTTCATGCAGAAGGTGCTGATATGTGGCAGAATGCATGTGGTGTAAGAAACAAGATACCTTTGGAGAATAAGGTGGACAGGGCGTGTGTATACTTATGCAGCGTGTGTGTGTGTGTGTGTGATGCAGTAAGGTGTGTTAGTCAGCGTGAGACTTCTGCATCTCAGACATGCAAAAAGGGCACCAAAGGAAGAAATCTGAAAGGAATACCAAGACACGCTCATCACACAGCAGAGTGCAAAAAGCCATGCAGTCAGTCAGCGTGTTGTACCTGAGTGTGTAAGCCAGGTAGCTACTGCGGCTCTTGGCTGACCTGTCCAGTGAGACGGTAGACTCGCCAATGCCTGAACGGTACACTGCGCCGTCCTCTGTGTACATGTTGTTGCAGTTGAGAGAGCGCTGAAGATGGAGGAATATAACAAAGGTTATATTTTAAACAAGAGCTATGAGACCGAAAACCAAATTAAACAAAAGAGCATATAAAGAAATAAGAAACAATGTTGAATAACTTGATGATACATATTTAAATGTATCGATATATATGTATAGGGATGGGGATTGAGAAGAATTCAGCGATTCCATTATTGATATCACTTATCGATTCTCATTGGCGCCATTTTGAGAGAAACCACCATTGCTAAGGAGCAATAAAGAAATTACATTCATTCAAATGGATTGCATGCTGTGGTTTGAATGTTTGTTGAGGTACTTCCCCTCTTTGTTGGAGCCATTACTTAAAAAAACCAACACAAATCTCTTATGAGGACACACATCTCTAATAAAAAGCTGACTGCACAAAGCCAAGATGTAAACCAGCACAAAAGAGCGATCTCCATAGTGATACTGCTTTAGAAACGTGAACAGGTAGAAAGGGAGCAGCCTGACTGCTCATCTCGTTGTTGCCTGTTGAAGTTAAGGGTCTGGCTGTTGGGGTTGCGATTCACTCAGCTTTCGCTCCAAGTTCTTAGTTAGCTTAGCATCAGCATGCTGATGGCAGATGCTTATAAAGAACCGAAGTTGTGTTAGCAGCATTATGCGGTTGTTTCTGTCCTGGATGTTTTCCACTTTACCATTTATCTCGTCCTTTAGCGCAACAAACATCAAATAAATGTCCACATCCACGCTCTAGACCAGGGGTGTCCAACTCCAGGTCTTGAGGGCCGGAGTCCTGCAGGTTTTAGATGTGTCCTTGATCCTACACAGCTGATTTAAATGGCTAAATTACTTCCTCAACATGTCTTGAAGTTCACCAGAGGCCTGGTAATGAACTAATCATTTGATTCAAGTGTGTTGACCCAGGGTGATATCTAAAACCTGTAGGACACCGGCCCTTGAGGCCTGGAGTTGGACACTCCTGCTCTATACTGAGTCGCTTTTTTCCTCCTCTGACACTTGAACTGAAATCAGCTGATTGTAGTGTGAGTGCAACTGATGAGTGCGATCAGTCGGCAGGCATGCCAACTGCTAACCGGTTTTCCACAAGAACCGGTTCTCGATTCCCATCCCTACTATATGCATGTATATAAAGTAAATGTTTGTTCACTTACTGTTAGCAAAGAGCCCCTCGTGGTGCTGGACTCGTCTTGTATGCTCTTCTTTCCCTTGAAGATGTTCTTGAGGTTTTTCCTCACCTCTTTGTTGAAGACCACATGGAACAAGAAAATGAAGACTCCCTGAAAAAAAAGCAGGAGAACGTATGTATGTATTGCTGAGGAGAGTAAATAATCAAATGTGAATTGTTTTCAAAAGTGTGTGTGGATTATCTGTGCATCCAGAGCTCAGTGTGGGGTTAGCAGATACCTGCAAGCAGCTGAAGACAGCAAACAGGTAATGGAAAGTCATTACATTGCTGTTGACTGCCATTAGACCGAGCAGCCAGGTGGCACTGATGAGCACCAGGAGGAGGAAGGCCATACGTAGGGCAGGACTGCGTTGGGAAACATAAATGTTTTAATAATGGTATAAAAAGCCAAACTCAAGGTAGCAACTGGATCCTTTGATGTATGTGAAATGGCTAATGTGATGTGGGAACCTACATAGCTCCTGACTTCTCTACAGCCTTCTGTCTCCGACCACAGGAAGCCTTGGCAGCGAGAACAAAGATCACTATGTTCACCTGTAAGGGGAAGGAAAATTTAAGAGGTTTATCCCTCAAAACTGTAAATACAAAAAAGTTGTACGAAATAGTTTCTAGCCACAGGAAACTTATTTTGAGTGTCTTCATAGTTTTATTTTTGAGATACACCAATTTTTATATACTGCAGGAAAAACAAAAATAAATATTATAATGCAAATTTGCAAAAAAACAGCATGTGCATCAAAATAAACTATTTCCAGCAGTGCAATTTGAGTTCTAAGCATCCCAGAAACGATACAGGAAAGCACAAAGTCAAACATGACTTTTGAAAACACCAATATAGCCTTATAAGGTTCTGAAGGAAAAAAACAACTACATTCTCCACGAAAATTATGTCACTTCCGGTTTCGGGCAGGTAATGGCGGACGATAGTTCGTGCTGACGTCTATTCCAACATAGGAAGTGTTACAAACAACTGATCGGATCGGCAAAGCGTGTTTCTGGAATGGATGTGGAAGGAAACCGTGACCTAGGACAAACTGATGGTACAAGATGTAAGTACAACTCCTCCGGTTTGATATGCAAAAAAAATTATTGCGCTAGCTTACGTGGTTGCAGTTCTACTGGGATTTAAAAATAGTTACGCAAAACGGGGCATCCCCGTCACCGGTCTTAAAGGGTTAAAAGAGATATTGGACATACCAGCACGACTACAAAGATGGGCCCTGCAAAGCTCCAGATGAGTGTGTCATGGACAGAAAGCCAACAAAAATCTGGGTTTCCATAACCCTGAGGATCGAGGCCAACTGCCAAACCTACACACAAACACAATGAAAACACAGTGGAGAAATAACATTTTGATCAAATCAGTCTGACTTTATATTATTAAAATATTTTGGATTCTTTTTTTCAGTTACACATCATAATCGCTCACTAATTTTGTCACATTTGAACCTCCGTATATATTTTATATATCTATTTGCCTCTTCCAAAAACATAATCCAAGCATCCAGTGCTGACGAAATCACTATATCACACAGCATCTGGTAAGTGTTTAACAAATTTTATAAAAGTGACACAAGAGTAGCCCTAAAAGGAGGAATCAGACAGAAGGAAAACATATAAACATGACACAAATTGTTTAAATTATATATATATATTATTTTTACACCCTTCTTTTTTTCTCATTTTGACACAATGTGAGCATCTAAGTAGCAACCATTTCCTTTTCATTGTTTCTCCTGCTGTCTCATTCAGCGATCTTCCCACAGGGATCATAGCCTTTTCAGAAAAGACGAGTCATGACACGAGTCTCTCGACAATCTGCCATCTCCTATCGCACTGTTGCTTGTCCTGGCGAACATGTGTGAGTGTAACTCACCAGTGATGATAGCCGGTATGCCCCAGCCCATGGCGTAGTAGAACCTCATGTGACCGTAGTTGATGTTCCGCAGCTCGGTCAGCATGCGGTAGATATGCAGCCCCTCCACGAACATCCAGGCAAAGGTGCACATGTAGAAGTAATGGAGGAGGATGGCGATCACGGTGCACACAAACTGCGAGTTTGTAGGACGGGAGAAAAGAAGAGAGCGCCAGATTTTTAGGTACAGAACAGTATCGGCCACTTTGGTTCTGCAGTACCATTAAATCTATATATCAGTGCACGAATCATCCAGCCTTTCAAAATAAGACAATTATCTGTTTGTTCATCTTTGGATATTCAAGCAGACAACCGGGAAATAAACCATCCAATTTTTGAATATTTTTTAAAATCTTGAAAGCCTTGTCAATAAACTATTCAATTTGTCAAAAAAAGCGATAAATTCGTGAACTGACAGTAAACGTTTTTATGTCACAACGTCTTTTCGTAACACGGCAATGATTCAAACTGTCCCCACATTCCTGTATCTCCCCTCCTCCCATTTTGTGCTGTCTGGTGCTACAGTAGAAGAATGGTGTGTGTCAGTGAATGCTGAGATACGGTGTATTTTACTAATGTTTTGTATTGCTGTGGAGATCAGAGAAGAAGAAGGAGAAACTACTTTGACAGCGTTATAAATCATCCCCGGAGATGGCCCTGGGCACACACCGACAGCATTCCACTGCTCTGATGCACGTTTACCTACACACACACCTAAACTTTGCACGCACACTAGCAAGCGCTTAGCAAATCAAAGAGATGCAAAAAAAAAAAAAAAAAAAACCCCAAAGAGATTAAACTTTCTCTTTTAAGCATCTCCTTGCAGACTTGGCTTCCACTCCACAAAACAATACTCCATAAATATAAAGCAGCATGTGCTTTTACCACCTCATCCCAGTCAAAACATGGTGAGTCAGAACATTCGTACAGGACTAAAGACAAAACTCCCACAACTCCTCTGGCGCCTGTAAACTTACTCGCTTCTCTTTCGCTGTGGTGCATGTGCACATTTGTACTTTAGGGTAGCCACAGTTGAGAAAAGGGCAGTTAGCGATGAATACCGATACTCAAGCCGGTTCTGTCAGTCAAATCCAACTGTAAGCTCAGCAGTACATATGTGTGCATGTGTTTATTTTGACATCAGATATCCTTTTCTTTTAGATTTATAGCAGGTTTATCGAAATGTGAAGGGGCTGCTGAATCACTCGTTGTAGGATTCATTTATGGGACCTAACCTTGAAATACGAGGCTGATTTGACATCTTCTGTCATGTGAATGATGAGGTGTGAGATAGTCGTAAATAAAGCACAAACCACCAGGGCTATGCCTCTTGAACAGGCTTCGCTTTCATCCCCGATTCATTACCACTGCAAGTACTATTCAGAAGCACATGTATATCTGTTTGACAGCTGGGGGTGGTAGTTACAACCCTCCATAGAGTTACAGGACTGACAGTGCGTCTCCCGATGCCTTGGGTTAAAACATCTGGTTTAACCAGACTACGTAAAGCTGACTCATTCACCTTTAACATGTTGTACTTACAAGGGTTAAGCTTTAAGGTGCTAGTTGTCCTTTTGAGCTGCTACTTATAGGCTGAGCTAGGATCACAAACCAGCACACAGAGATAAGTAAGGCAATGATCTTCTCTAACTCTTGGCTAAAGGGCAAAAAAGTACACCTTTAAATGTATCCTTATAGCTCCCTTTTTAAACCTGATTTCTTCTACTTGTCAATTAAGAGATTAATGGTGTTGTCTGTACCACAGACATTTGAGATTTTTTATCAAGTAAAAACTAAAGCTGTTTTGGGAAAACCCTTGCCAGGACCTACCACCCTGAGGCCAGCTTTTAGAGACAGGTACCAGTCACAGCACGTCTCCACTACTGGCCCACAGAGGTTTGTGTATGTGTGTGTCAACAGACTTCAAAGATATCCGATACCTTTTGATCCTTTACTGTATGTATATGGAACTGAGAGTAGTTACTAGCCATATCAGTGACTAACAAAGGCTTTTAACTCAATTAAGGTAGACTACATCCTCACATAAGATTTATCCAGGAATGGCAGCTCACTAACATGAACTTACACGAGGTTATATTGGAAAAGCAGTTTGGTAAATAGCACATTCCTGACTATTACAGTCATTAGTCGACAATCACAACACATAATCTGTCAGATAAAGAAAGACTCTCAGGTAGGTCTTGGCCCATTAAGTCTTGTACTGCTCTTGTCAACCCAGCGTTAGAGGGCTGCCTGAAGGAAAAACAAATATGGTAGGCTTCATGGAAGCTCTGATAAAGTAAACACCAGAGAGAAAGCTCTTTATCCCGCATCTCAGATGCCCCACACCACTCATGTTTGTAGCACATGACTTCATGGTCTGGTTTTTAGACCATGTACATATGTACTCTATCTTGCTTTACATGGTAACGATCAGAATTTAATCATGGTGTAATTTCTCCACCAGTAGTTTCTTATTATATACCGATCTTTCATAATGGAAACTACAACTCACTAAATAAAAGAAAAATGAGCCGGATTCACAGTGTCAAGAGTCTAATCCTAGAAATATTCCTACTGTGTGTCAACCAACCCACCTTTGTAGGGAATACTTCAGTATTCCCTACAAAGGTGGGTTGTGCAGTTTCTTCTTTTAAGTTGTTAAATTGCAGCTGTGTATTTGGGGATGCTGTCTGCCAAATCCTGCACGTATGAAGGAAATCTGTAAAGAAATTACACGCATGGTTCGTTGGCTTTGTAACTGATCGTGCAGCTGCTGTGATGGGCTGTAGAGAGGAGCAGCCACACTCCTGAGTGAAAAGATCAGTTCTAATCTGACAGTGCATCATTCACAAGCTGGAACCTGCAGTCCAGCACGCTGTAAAACACTACACAGAGACATTTTCAAATACGCATTAACTCTTAATCGCAAAGGTTTGCTACTGATCAAAGATTTCCAGATGTGGGTAACAGAGGGCAATGCAATGCAGAAAAGGTGTCACTACAGCAAACAATCCACATGTTCAGGTGTGTTACACTGGATCCCGTTCATGACACAACCTCGTAGGGGATTTGAATCTACAGCTGGAACTAAACCAGCCTACACTATGGAGCCACACACCATTACACACTGCAGTTAAATGGAACAGCTGCCCAAATAATGCTAAATACAAGACAGATTTAATTCTGGCACGTTAATATCTTTGTATTTCTTGATTTAATCAAATATGTCTGAAGAGGAAAACATGAATCTGAGAATACTGCACACATTAATTTACTTTTTTTTTTTTTAAGCAGTAGTTATATATTTAAAGTTTTAGTTCAAGTCATGGATTCCTGCAAAATCCAGGTCAACTTCAGCAAGAATTCTGTGGCAGAGGTCATTTTTGGCTTTTTTTTGGCTTTGGCTTTTTACCTTAATAACAACAAACAAACAAACACTTTATTAGCTAAAAAAAGATAGCTAACAGGGGGATGCATACACTGTGACATTTATATAGTTCAACTCACCGCTTAGTAATGAATGAAGAATTTGAAAAACTGTTGATGGTCAATAACTTTTCAATGGTAAGCCAACAGTAAATGATAATTATAACTAATTATCCAAATATTTAATAAACACTGCTAGCTAAAATGTCCACCTCTAAGAAACTGAAGTACTACAAACCCGGCAGAGCTACTAGAATCTAATCATTGTCATCATTCGCTTCAATTAGGAGAAAGATTATTGTTGATGAAGAAATATTCATATGACATAGGAAGCTCACATGACAGAGCTACAGGACATCTGACAAAGACGGCTGGGAATAACCGTGCAGGATAAAAAACACTTTGCAGGGGGAAAAAAAAATGCACTTACCACATTGTCAGTCTGGTTGATGCCCAGGAGGAAGACAAGCTCGGAGAAGAAGAGCGCTGCCACCAGGTTCCTGTGGATGGCGTGGAGGTTGGTACGGAGCCTGCGCAAGAGGCACAGCAGGATGAAGGTGATCAGGAGAAGAAACAGGGACACGGAGACTGTGGTGTACGTGACGATCTTCAGAGGCAGGACATCGCCGTGCTGTGGAGAGCAGTTCCAAGACAGCGAGTTGGTGATCAGTAACAACCACTAGGTGTTTTAAAACGAAGCTGAAATGAGAGAAGTTTTAAGCGCTACCTCTCTTTTGGAAATGTCCATCAACACAGCAAAACTGGTCATGTGGTTACACTGACAGCTAATGTGGGTGTTGTTCCTGTTGAGCACCTCGCAGCCTTTAGAGGACCAGCCGCCTGCGCCTCCACTCCTAAACACGCCAACGAACACAAGCACAGGTGAGACCAGTAATGTATACTCTTAAAGCCATGTGAAAACAATGCATTTAACTACAATGTATTTCAAATTTAACTCACCCGACTGAGTGGTCCCAGAACACGCAGACGGGTTTGGTTCGCTCCTCTGTCTCCAGCAGGGTGTACTCCAAGATGACCGGGGGGTCCAGGACGGTAGGAAGAGGCTGACCTTCGCTGTGGATCGTGGCGCTCACGATGGCTGTGTTGATCACCGGACGGTTGGGGACTCTAGAAATACACATTGTACACTAACATTCGCATAAAGTTTTCTCTGCACCTTCTGGTGTTCACCACTTGTTCATTCTGAACAAGAAGTAATAGCAGTAGATGGCTTTCACAGAGGTCAGCCATAGTTTACCTCAGACTCCTGCGGTCTGCGTCGTATCTTTCAGGAAGGAGCTTTCCCAGCGACTTGTACACTATCACCACAGCAACAGGCAGAGGGGCAGGTGGCTCGAGATGGCGGCGTTTCCTATCTGAAACTGTGTGCTCCTCCTCTAGGACAGCTTCTGTCTGAGCTGGAGGGGCAGGAGTGGGCTCTGCTGATGTCAGAAAGAAAGAAGATGAAGCTTTAAAAGCAGAAAAAAAATTTAATCGAGGTCTGATTGAGGCATCGTTCCCACCTTTGTTTCCCTGAGTACCGATATTAAACTGTGGGAAGCGGACAGAAGACCCGAGCTCTTTGGGGTAGGCCTCCTGGATTTCCCGGAAGCGAGGAAATGTCGCCCTCTCTGGGTTCGACACATCCAAGTAGTCCACAGTTAGAACTGAAATAAACAGGAGACACAGTAAAGACTTGTGTTATCGTTTTTTCCCCGCAGCTGAAGCACAATTCAATTACAGTTTGGAGACTCACTCATGTTTTCAGTGACGATGGTGAAGGGCTTCAGGTAGGTTTTCCGGACATTCTGTGCCAGCGTGCTCGCGTAGTCCTCAAAGTTTCGGAGCAAATGTGCGGTCCCGCTCTCTGTCCTTTGGATTTGGTCCCAGTGGTCCTTGGTGTTGGGATCCAGTATGGCGCTGCCTGCTCGCACCAAGTTCTGGAAAAAACACAAATTGCCAAGCTACGATTGAAAAAGGAATTTATATATTCAAATAAAAGCAGTAATGGATAAAGTTGTTCACCCAGTGAGCATCAACCAGTGGAGGGCAGCATGCCACCAGTGTTCCCAGTGCTCACATCATATATATTTTTATAATAATTAAGTGCATAAGGCTACCTCATTAAACTCTGCATCCTTCATGGCGGTGAGATCAAACCCGGCCTGGCGGCTTTCGTACTGCAGAACATAATTCAGAAGCTGGGCGGCCATCTTCACGTCATTGCCGTAGTAATGTGACGTGTTATTGGTGGCACTTTGAAGCAAACGCACAATGGTCTTGGAGCGTTCGCTGTCCATCCTTGAACTGTTGCGGCGGAGATCGTCATTCTAGAAGAGAGTGGAGGATGTAAAGAGAGGGAGAACGGGCAGGTCAAGGTAGGGAAAAGCTCCTCGGGTTCAGTCTAATAAAAGCCCCTGTCTGCTTTCATGCTTATTTCTGTCTTTTATTCACCAGTTTTTTCAGATGTGTGAAGGCAACGGTGGTGCAGTTGAAGAGCTCAGGTGCCAGCCAGCCCTTCTCATCACTACAGTGGCGGATGGCAGTGCCTGGAAAAGAACAAATAACATAAAAAACAGAGGACATGGAGATCAATTTCCTCACAACTGTTACCAACACATGAAGAGAGAAGAAAACACTGTGAGGAAATTCTGTTCTATAGCATTAAAATTATGCATTTGTGCAGTTACACAATTAGAGATTTTGCATTGAGGTACAAATTTGCAAAAAGGGGCAAAAAGTGTAAGTGCAGTCATGTCAGAACATTTGACTGTTCTACTATGATCACATATTTTCTCGCTTACTTTAGAGATTTATGTTTTATTACGTGTTTGTCCATGTATGTTTATTAAATAACGTATTTCATATCTTAACTACTTAGCAACTTTTTATTGTTGCCTCAAACAGTTTTATTATCTTAAAATACTTTTCTTTCACGTGAAATTAGATATGAACTGCATGTTATCTGTTTGTACAGAGGAACGAAACTGACAACATTATAAAACCAAAACAAAATAAATGTATATGCCAGTAAATGCATCAAAGGTAATATTAAAAAATCATAGACATTGTTGAATGTATAAAATGCTACATAAAAAACTATTTTTATGATATATAGTTATATAATTATATAGTCCTGTCTTGCTTTTTTCATTTTGTATTTAATTATTCAATATTTGTTTCTAATTTTAATTTGTTTGTATCTTTTAATAGATTAGCTGGAGGCAACTATTTTGTATGGTAACCAGTCAGATAACAGGAACAAACTGACTTCCCAATAGACTTTGAATAACAGCCTCCTCACTTATATGAAGAATAAATAAAATATTCAATATTTAAATAAATGAAATTTAAAAAAAATGGGGAAAACAAACATAGCAACGCAAAGGGAACATTATACAGAACATATACATTTAAAATGTCACACTTTATATATTTAAAATAATTTAAAACACATTAATGATCACAACTAATTATACCATTCATTTTTGAACAGCAATTTTTCAGAAATTTATTTCTTAGTTATTTTTTGATTTTGTTAGTTGAGAAAGATTTGACTGGGCTAGTAAGTAGTAGTAAGTACTAGTAGTAGTATAGTAAGGACACACATTTTTAAAAAAGGCACAGCAAAAAACTCCAATCAGATCGTGATCAGAACTGTTCTGAAGATTTGCAGCACTTAAATACCTGATGAATGTAAGACCATTCTTTCCAGTCTCAGTGCTTAAATGTAAAACTACACCAAGTTTTTACAGTCAGGTGGTGTTTGGGAAAGTCTCACTGTTGTAAAGGGAGAAATGCCTGCCACTTGGAGCTAAAGGAGGGCACTGAGCAATGCTCACAAATAAATTCCCTATTGAGCGCTGGGAGACAACAAAAAGGGCACCATGGTGACTGCAGTTACCAAGGGAGTAACCAGGAAAGAGGCAACGTTTTACTGGGACAGGTCACTGACCGCGACTCTTGAGCTCACCTTTCTCATACACACAGTGAGCAAGAGGAATGGTATCGCCGCCAGCTCTTAATGTACCTGACGTACCTTTACACACAAACCTCTACATGATTGGCTGGTTAAAAAGCTCCTCTGGACTCATGAACCAATCAGTGTGCTTTATTGCTGTGTTGTTAAGCCTTGGAGAGTGAAAGACAGTGTGCAGTTAAAAGTACTCACCAAAAGATCCTTCGGGACATTTCATAGCAGCAGGGCGTCCAAATTTTGTCTTGGGCCACCAGATGCCAGAATCAAAGGCCTTTGGGCAGCCCTCATACACCACTGTGGACAGGAGGGTAAGGCTTAAGAACAGTCTTAAAACACAGTAATTACTTTTTACATTGCACGTGGTATGATGCTTAAACTGGGCCTGCTAAAAACAAGCTAATCAGCTAAAAAAACAAAACAAAAAAAGCATCGCTTTAAAAGGCAAACGTCCGACCCGGCTGATCCGTTTTAACCACCTTATAAAACAGCCAGACGGAAAAACACACAGAAATTCAACCAAATTAATCCTGCAGAGCTGTTGCACAAGCTGCAAGACATAATTCATGTCAGCGTATTTGACAGCCAGGACAAACCAGATTTGGACCTGCAAGCTTGCACAAGCTATGATACATAACTTAGCCAGTGTACTTACTCCAAGCTTCTCCATTAAATACAATAAGAATAATTAAAATAAGGAGTGGTTGAAGGTCATTTTTCTTTTTTAAACCAACTTAACTGTGAAGCTGTGTTTAGTCCAGAACAGATATTGTGGCATGAGGTCTATTAAAGGCAGCTACATCTTAGAGTCTTATGAATCTGAAAAAACGCACTAAACCCACTCCAACATTTTGGCTAAACTACAATACTCAGACCATGGATTAGGGTTTCATGTCCTTTAAAAGTCCAAGCACGTTCTCAGCCTCCAAAAGGCTTCCTATTAGGTCAAACAGTAAGCACACTGACATTCATTTTCTGTTCGGGGGCTTTGTCTTCTGTTCATCTCTACTGTATTGTGTGTGTGCAGTCCCGGTGCCAAGTTAGCCACTGAGCCAGACTTGCCTCTTCTGCATGACTGGGTGGTGACAAAGATGCAAAGTTAACTCGACTGCAGCACCAGCAGATGTGAGCGACACCATTTGTCTCATTTTGACGCTTTGTTGAAGGAGCCGGACCCAGTTTGTGAACCGAGAACAGCTAGAGTTAGAATGCACCCGACTTTTGAAATGACCTTTTATTACTGTCCCCTTTAGTTATTCTGATCTGACCTTCATGGCGTCCCTTTTCATACACAGTTAATTATTCATGGGCTTCTATGGGACTCAATAAATGTCTATCTATATTGCATCCTGACTTATTAATTTTTAATCCTTATTCACAGAAGTTGAAGTGTACTCTTTTATAAAGGCTAATTAATCAATGATATTTCTACCTTCTCAAATATTTCTTTCACATACCTTCGCATCCAGTGGGAGTGACTTCAGCGAAGGGATTATCGCACTGGTTGCACTGACGACCGATAACTCCTCCCTTGCAGGGACACTGCCCAGTGATGGGGTCGCAGGTTCGAGACTCAGAGCCTATAGGGAAACAGTCGCAGGGGTAACAAGCGTCCTCTCCCTCTGGACGATAGTGATTATCCTGCAGGAGGTTTGGGAGAGAAGACACACATCACTGAGCAGGGAGGAGACTTTGAATATTACATGAATTTGCTGCTAATATGAACTAAAAACCTCCTTCAAGAAGAAACACTGTAATATTTGTAAAATCTCTCTTATTATGTACGTATTTACCTTGCAGCGGCACTCCCCGGTGGTCTTGTTGCAGTTTTTATGAAATCCTCTGCTTGTGTCACAGTTACACGGTCCACACATGGGACTGCCCCACCAGCCCTCGTGACATTTCTCTTCCACTCTGCCATTAAAGACAACAGTAGATGTCAAAATCAAACGCAAACTGCAAAGTACAATTACACGGAACAGAGATAAGGGTGTCGTGGCCAAGGCGTGCCCTTCTCTCCTCAACCTCTTTTCTCTCAAGATCAGCATTAGCTCAGAGCAGGTTAACTTGATAAGTGTAATTCAAGTGATTTGATTATGTGATTATTGTTATTTGATTTGACTTTTGATTTGCTCCGGCTAAACTTTAATAAAATATACTGGAGTCAAAAAGTCTAAATTGTGGACATTACCTTTTTAACCCTTGTGAAACACTAAAGGCGAAAACCTGTGTATTATTGTAACATTACTCAAAGGGTGAGGGGCGGGGCTTGACCAGAGGGCACCCTCGGCAACCACACCTTCAGTGGTAGTAGGTAGTGGTAGTAGTAGACCTTCCTGTACTGGGTTTTGCCTGGTCGAGATCTGGTACCAGTCTGATTCCAGTTAAAGACACAAATCCTCTTTGGAGTTGCATCAGGAAGAGCATCTGCTGTAAAACGCTTCCAAATCAAACATGTAAATCTACCTGCTATGGTGACCCCTGTGACCAGGGTGTGGCTGAAAGGAGCTTTTCTAAAATGCCATGCACTGCGTGATCTGGTTGTGACATGCTGCTGACTCGGTATCAGCGCCTACAATCAGACAAACCGTCGATTATCTCTTCAGTTTATCATCAAATAAACAAATCTACAGTAAACTTCCTCTACACTTTTAAGCCAGTCACTCAGACACACACGGACTTTCTTTTTCTTCCTCGAGATGCGATCACTGCCGGTGCAATGCGATCTGACGGAGGAAGAGCGGCAGGATGAGGGAAGCAAAGACTAAACACCTGTGGAGGAGCAGTCAAGCATTCAGGGGGAATCCCACATCCTGCTTAAGACAGGAAGTGATGCGTGTCATAGGGGACAGGGTTCACAGGGAAATGAGTGATTCTCGATCAGGGCTGGCTACTTTGCAGAAATGCTTACACCACTGCTCGACTAATTCCCAAATAAATGGCTGATCTGTCCCTCTCTCACTCTCAGGCACCCATACAAACACACTTGTCAGGCTCGGATTACTGACTAATAAAACTCCCCTGAAGGACCGGCAACAATACAGAATGAGAAAGAAACCTCAGTGAACCAAAGAGGATTAATGAGCTTTGTCTTTGTGGGAGGCAATATCCAGTTTTAGTCTGGTTTGTTTATAACATCTGGATATTGTGTCTCGCACACAGGTCTGCTTTCAGTCTGCTAGCAAATTGATTCCATGTTATTAACATTTTATTACCATCTCAATTCACCAGAGCCAATGGAAGTATCTGACCTGGAGCCTATCTTCAAAGCTACCATTCAAATATCACTGCATTGCTCCAGTGGCGTTATACAAGTTGTACATGTGGTGTGCAAGAAAACCCTTCTCCCTGCTTGCCCTCAGAAAAAAAAACCTTACTTGTTTTCACAGTACTGGCCGAAGTAATTTTGTCCACATTCGCAGGTGTAGCCGTGGGAGGAGCTTGGTTTGCGGACGCACGTGGAAACGTGCTCACAGGGGTTGAGCTTACAAGCGTCCACGCACTGTTTCCCAAAGTAGCCTGCAGGAAAGACAGACAAACAAGAACTGAATTCAAGCCCAAAGGCGTGAAATACAGACGTTTACGTTCACACACCTTTCTTAAGAGCCAACATATTGAGCTCTCTCAACCAACTTATGTATGTTTTTTTGCTTGTGCATCTTACCTGGGTCGCAAGCACAGGTGTGTGTGCTCCAGTCGTCAATGCACTGGCTATTCTCTGGGCAGATGTTGGAGTCGCACGGGTCAGCCAGATCACAGCCGTTTTCCACACGGATCTTCAGGCCCTGAGCCATGTTCACATTGGCCACGTTGTTGGATGTCTCACCCATACGCACACCCTAATGGATAGCACACATTCATGAGGGAGACGATCAGGAAAGAAGGTTGAAGAAGAAATAAAATGCGACATTTAAAGTGCACGCCCACCCACCTGTATGCAGCCAACAAATCCTTTGATGACATCGTTTCTCTCCCCGGGCAAACCTCCAATATGAAGAGTTTGCAGCTTGAGGCCTGGGAGGTCATTGCCGATCTCGACTGACTTCTGCTTAAAAATAAGACAATAATTAAAATTAATACAACCTTTCTTGACTACCTTTATCATCTCTAAAGGAAGACGCCCTGTACCTCATACATGCCGTAGTCCAGAGAGACAGCTGCCATGTATTTGATTTCCTTGCCATCTTTGATGCTTTTCAGTTCAATCAGCAAGTGGTGCCACTCCCCGTCATTGACACGCACTTGAGGAAAGCTCAGCGATGCCACCAATTGGTGCCTCAGCAACACTTCCATATGGACCCGCTGCTCACTCACCTGGAGGGGGGGGTGCAGAAACTGAGAACTTCCCACTCATTTTAGAGGTAGTCTAAAACCTGTATACAAGCTTGAATTGCAAACTGCTGAGGGTGACAATTTTTCCAACAATGCTTCTTACCATGAGGTTGATGGTAGAGGAAGGCCCAGCATTGACCTGCATCAGGGTGCCAGCAGGACGCCGGGTGCGGAACATTAGGCCAATATACCAGGGAACAGCAACAGTGATGTCCGGGTTGCTCCAAGACACCAGTGCCTCTCCGCCAAAGAACTGAGGTGATGGCATCACTGGGAGGGACGAGAATCAGGTCGTACGCACAAACACATTAGTGTTTGAAATAAATGTGTTTAAAAGTCAGATGAGAACTGTAGGAACTACATATGAATCAACGCAGCATTAAGCATAAGAAAACATTTTCTGTGGCTGTACATAACAACCATAGGTAAATAGTAGCAATGACTTTTCTGTAGTTTTTTGGGTTATTTTTAGCTTTACACCTTTTTTTCTTATTTGTGTATTTGTCTATTTTTAGATATCATTTAAAACACGCAGTTGCTTTAGTTCTTTTACTTCTATATTTTGGTTGCAGTGTTGAAATGATGAGTTTTTTTCCAGCATTTACGTTCCAGCATGTCATATAATTACTACTTTATTCTGGAAAATAAAAGATTACTTCCCAAAAATATTCTTCCATGAGCATAGTTAAAAATAATTCTTAAAGTCTAATTAAACTCCTACAGATGCGAGTTTTTATCTAAGTTCTAATTTGATGCTGAGAAAGCAAACAATGTCCTCGAGCTGTCTGCTCTCCTGAGGGTCGATCTCAGTAGGGCACGCAGTGTTTCCACCTCAGCTATACCATGTTCTCTGGTCCCCGGGCTACATACTTCAACTGAAGCATTCACAGATACACTCACACAAAAGCTGTAATTATGAGACAAAGCATTTATTTGTTCATGGTAGCAGGTATCTATCGTGACTTTAGTCTCCTTTGCTGAAGCTTAGTCCTCCGCGAACTAAAAAAAACCCTCTTCACTGGCGTAAATTCTCGACCATCTCACACTTCTGTTTAATCATTTTTCTGTTTGATGTTTATTCAGCTGTGTGAAAACCAAGGAGGAGTTTTATTTTATTTTATCTAATCCAATCTAATAACTTTAATCTCAGCCAAACCGATTTACTCGTGAACAAATAAAACACTGAAAAAAGCCAAACAATAACATTTTTAGGTTATCTAAGTGACTTATATATTACGTTTACTCTGAGTAGCGAAAGTCCGCGGTGATCTGAAAATGATGTGCCGGGAGTTTGCCGTTCGACCCTCGAGCTCCCGGTTAGCTATCGAGCTGGTGATTAACAGATGTCTCAGAAAACGTCGAAGCACTTTTGCAAATTTGCAATATCTTGATAAACCGAGCAGATATTTGAAGTTTGCACTCCCACATTCTCGCCTGAAAATATGTTAAAAGTTTATTTTGTGACCCAGAAAGATTAATAAGAGTAATTTTAAAACTTAGCGGCCACCATTGCCGGAAACTGGAGTTTGGCTGGGCCGCACTATGAATTTTGGGATATGGTGGGCCACGAAGGACACACCCGACCCATCCTTCAAATTCGGGGAAAAGGCGGACGCATTTGTCGGCTGCATTCGGAGGAGACTACGAATTTGGACAGCCTTCGGCGCGTTGCTGTGACGTAATCGGTCTACAAATGCGGCCTCAGGAGGATGCAGCCCATGAATTTGGACACCCCCATAGTCTACAGCCATGCTATGACGGTGGTCTAAGTGAAATGAAAGCATGTTGGTATTCTAATATGTTAACAGAACTAAAAGAAAAAAAAATAATTAGCATGCATCTGTTAGCATGCTAATCCATGCTAATTAGTTCTAAAAGTGTTATGTAGGCTAACCCAGAGTTTGACTTAATGGTGCTAGCTGAAATGTCACAGAAAACGTTAGCCTCTACGGACCATGAGTGCCGATCAGAATTGACTTTAAGTCCTAAAACACTTACAGTAGTAGAGTTTAAATACATTAAGATATTTTAGTCTGGGCAGCTTCATGTCTGGAGTCACAAGCGGTGTTGGTAGCTGGGCAACATTAAGAGAACCAGGTAAAAGCTAGAGATAAAGATAACACCTCAGCTAATATGAATTGCTGAAATGGACTTGTTGATGGTTTCTATTACATATTTATCTGATAAAAATAGTGAGGTTCTTGAAGTAAAAATCCCATTCATATTCTCCATACAGATTCTTATTATGGTCATTATGCTGTGGACTCAAGACTGTTCATTGTCACTGCTAGCCTACTAGTAGACATCACCTTCTCAACTTATTGCATTTACGTGTTTTTCAGAAAACTTACTCTGACCTTTAGGTCGGGGTCACTGAGATTTGACCTTGTCAGAGATTTTTAGTAGATGCTCCTACGGTATCAATTTGCTCCTATGACACCTCGTTCTCCAGTTATTGCATTCTCAAACGATAATACCCCATCAGCTTTTAGAACAAAAAACATCTATCTATCTATGTATCTGAGGCATTTCTGTCTGTGCATTGCACTCCATCTTGTAATCCAAATATGATCACCTCTGGCTGCAGAAGTCACTGCAATTGCTACCGCCATCTTTTACATACAGTCTGTGGAATGATAGTGAATGCACATTAGAGCAATTGAACCAGGTCTAGGGACGGGTTAAATTTCTTAAAAAAATACACACACACACAAAAACAGCAAAGTCCAGTAGTTGGTATCAGAATCAAACAAAACCAAGCCAAGTGGGTGACTACCAGGGAGATTCTGTCTCTTTGTGTCAGTCTAGTCTTGACGATTTTGGCTCCACAGCAACAAAATCTCACGTTTCTCATGTGGCAGCGAAGTGTGTGAAGCCTCAAACCAAATGTGTCAACAAGCAGCCTAGCAGCCAAAACCTCTTCCCGGCTTGCTATGATCCCGGCCCAGTTCAGATACAGGATACTAGGGCCTGGCACTGACTGGGCGGCTACCTCATAGACGAGAGGGCGAGGATAGGTATTCACACCTTTACACATTGTTTGGAACTCGCCCTGAAGCAAGGATTCAAAGATTCAACTTTTTATATAAGAACACGAGAGGGGTTATGGAGCATAAATAATAATACCCGTTGGCAGATAGAGATGTGGATATCCAGATACCCTTAACAAAACCATTACCTTACACTTTATCTTTCAATATTGTTATCTGTGTACTCTCATTACCCATCTATTTACATGTACCTTTTCCATTATAACATAAGCCACTAGTCACATGTTGGCTGAGGAGGCATCAAAGACAGCTATGCGATCAGTAGAGCTGATATCACACAGAAATTTGAAATCTGTTACACTTTATTTCCATCTTCAGTCTGACACTGTGTGTTTACTCTAATGAATTTCCAAGGATGAGTCCTAATTAGCCACTAGTGACCAGTGTTTGTGCCTTAATGCCTCAGTCTCGTGCACACACAGCCATGCAAATTAGTGGTAGTAGTGAAGTGAACTTTGAGAGGCTTCCAAAAAACCTACAATCCAATTTTCCCCATTGGAAGTGTTCAGCTTGACAGTGTTTAGCAACATCTTTAGTCCCGCCCATGGTGCTGATTGGCTAATCATTAATTCCACCACAGCTCTCATTGGTCTTTTTAAACTGAAAACCTACCATCACATCACAGATTAATCAGTAAGAGCACGTAAGATTGAAATTTTCACAGCCCCAGGTGAGTGTGTGTTTATCTTTCATTTCAATCTGTGAGTCTGGGTTTTGATAAGTGACTCAGAGCCAAAGTTTGATCTTTTGTCCGAAAACTCCACACCTAAGGCTGTGCTGAGTGATTCTGGTGAACAGAGGCTGCGTGAGTCACGCTGAGTCAAAGAAAATGCTCCTTATCCCATGTGATCCCCCAAACACACACCATTTCCTGGAAATAGGTAAACAAATGTACACACACACACACACACACACAGATGAGCAAGCGGACACTTGCACCTTTGGCCAGAAACACGTCTGTCTATGAATGCAATAATATATTTGATTGATTTTGCAAACTCATAAGGAAGCACAATGGATTTATTTTACACTGGATTCCCAAAATCCCCAAACACACTGTCCACTTTTGCTTAAAAACTAACCAAATCACCCACACACATTTCTTACCTTGCTCACAGTTCTTGCCACCGTAACCAGTAGGGCAGTCACAAATGTAAGTGTTCCACTTGCTGACGCACGTGCCTCCGTTTTGACACACACCATTTGTGCAAAAGTCTTTCTTTGCTGGACACCCTGAGCATATAAAAGTAAATAAAATCAGGGGAAATTTAAGCTTCGTTTTTGATGACAGCTTTAAAAGTCGGTTCCAGAAATGAGCAAGGATAGAAACGCTGCAGAGGGAACATCTTAACCTTCTGTGGTGCCGTTGTTAGCAATGAAGCTGCCCATGTCGATGGGCTTGCTGTCGATGCGCAAGTTTCTCATGCAGCCTACAAAGTTCCTGTTCCTGACTGGGAAATCCTCTGGCAGGTTGGGAACCCCACCCAGTAACAGCGGCCCTGTCAAGTCCAGTGATCTGCAAGAAAATGCAGACAGACCATGAATGAGACAGATCAAAACTGCAAAATCTTCAAAGAGGGTCTTTTGTGATATTTTTCACTTACTTTTAGAAAATGGAGTTAAAGAGAGTAGTTTTGGCTTTGGTGTTTTAGCTGCTCCCTCATTAACCTTCACTATGATCTGTATTTCTGGTTAAAGGTTATTGTTTTCAAAAGCCGTCACAAAGCAGCTAAAAGGCAGCATTTCCAAGGTCAGATTTAACGTACTTGGTCATATATGAAGCCGCTTACACCCAGAGCTTCTGAAACCATCAAAATCAAAGGTCTAAAGACATTTACGTGGGACATTAAATGTGAATTTTGTTCTTACGGTCTAAATCAGCGGATCCCAACCGGACTGGTACCGGCCCGTGAGTCGTTTGGTACCGGGCCGCGAGAGTTGAGGCTCGGGTGTGAAATTTATGGTTTTCGGGGTTTTTATCGTTAACTCTGTTTACCCTGGGTCTTTTCCCGCGTTGTAGCTGCGTGGCTTATTTTGAATGAAATATTTACGCGTTACCATAGCGACCAGAGAGCATTAAGGGGCAGAGAGGAGGATGTTACTCTCATTTCAGGAGGACGCTGCTAATAAAGTTACACAATTACACAGTGAATTCTCGTTTATTATTATATTTACAAAATACCACAGTTTTTGTCTTGGTCGTATCATTTTATTTTGTTGTATTTATCCGCGACACCTTTAAGCCCGTTCTGTGCAAATACTGCCTGACATTAAACCGGTCTGTGGTGCAAAAAAGGTTGGGGACCGCTGGTCTAAATAACATCGCCTGGCTGGGAGCACGAAGGGCTCAAACCATGAATCTTCTAGACGTTCAGCAAATCAGCAGAAACCTGCAGGCTTCTTTGAACCAACGTTCAGCCATAAACTTCAGCGCTCTTGGGTGATGTCTTAACAGTTATCTAGAAAGTTCAGATTTTCGTTTTGTTCTTTTATTTAAATACACAAGAATGCAAAAACCATAGTGTCAGACACTAAAAAAACCGAAGTTCAACTTACAGCTATGATCCAGAATTCATTTGTATGAATATTAATATAAATATGTAGCAGTAGAGTTAATGGGTTTTGATTTTTTTTCTGAAGTATTGAAGGAATCCGTGTTATGGATATTTGTGAAAAGATACCCAGTACAGAGACTCCAGTGTCAATACAGACTTGTAGGATATATTAAACTAGTCTTTAAATCCCAAAGGTTTCTTTTTCATAAATTTGTTGGGGTTTTTTCCCCAGATACTCCTGAAATTTACAGCAAGAAATATTGTTGGGAAATCCCACCCAGCACTCTACAGTTGTGTCAGTGGAGTCATGTTTTTCTGCCTCAACAGGACTCACTCTGCAGCTTAAGCCACACTCTGGATTCTGTCAAGACAGCTTAGAAAGTGAAACCTCTCAGGCTCTCGCCACTTTCCACCACATAAGACGCAGCGGTCTAATTATTCCAGCGTGATCAAATTAAAGCATCCTCAAAACGCCTCGCAGCGTCTGTGACCGGTGCAACAAGCTCCTGAAAGTATGTAAGCTCATTAGCTCCCCTTTGAAGCTTTCTCTCTCGCTTCCTTTCAGTCCCCACCCTCTACAAAGTAAATGGGCCTCAGCATGCAAGCTTTCCAAAAGAAAAGGCACACTGTAAAAATATAAATTGATGAGTGTGTAATAAACACACAGTTAATCCTGTAAAGCCTGCGCTGAGATGAGCTTTTGGTTGTCTGACAGCAGAGAGACCACACGGATGAGCACGGAGATTAGGAGATAAAAGCGGGAGAAGATGGCAGAATGTGAGTTGTGTAATCTGCTGTAATGAAGGCGAAGCCCCCGAGGCGCAACACATTCCCTCATTAGTCTGACTAGTTTGAGTGAATGTGTGTGGGAAGAGGTCCAGAGAGAAAAGAAAGAAAAGAAAGTTGGTGAAAGAGGTTCCCTCTTACTTCTTCTGTCCAATCTGGGTACCCTGCGCGGCACAGGAGTAGTTCCCGATCTGCTTTCCGAAGCGGATCGCCATGGATATGTCACAATCGTCAATGGCGACCATAGCCACTTTTTCTCCGGACGGTCCAAAAGGGTTCCCCACGCTCACCATTTTAGGCTGAAACACAGAATGAAACAGATCACGGTCATTCATTGGCATTTAAGAATGATAGTGGGGATTTGAGAAATCCCCACTAACTGTATCTTATTCCCTGCGTGAATGTGCTTTGTTACAGTAAATTGCCTCAGCTGACTGAATTCGGTTAAAACATTTAATGCTCGATTTCTTTCTTTGTTTCTTTTCACACAATGTTAGAAATCTGGCAGGGGCGGCAGCGCGATCAGCGCGGGTCAGCGCTACACAAACAACGTCTAGCTGACTTTAGCGGCGGCGCTCAGGCCTCTCTGGGCTTAAGATGACAAAAAAGCCCATTGTGCATTAGCTCGCACCTAATGATTACAAAGTAGCCTAATTCTTCCATCAAGGCCCGTGGCCGACGAACGCTGATCTGAGAAAATGTGGCTCGGCTTAGAAAATCAGGCCACAAAATCGCTTTCGAGTTTCTAATATCGAACCTGAGAGCAAAGTTCAATGGAGCATTTCCCTAACAATAGCAGCTTTGGAACAGGAGCAGAGTTAAAACCCAAAAGAGTTTCCACCAGGAAAAAAAAGGAAGTGCATTCATGGTTAAAGCTGAGATTTATTTCAAATTCTTTACAAATGAAGCACTCGTATCTTCTTGTCTTGCGTTGAGTGCCTTACAGCAGATGGAGTCATAAGTTATGTCACTCTGCTATCTCTACTAGGGTCATGGTATATTTCTGCAGTGCATAAAGACGGCGGCACTGAAGCTCTGAGATCTGATCGTGGCGCTGTGTTTATATAAAGTTTACATAAGGCTGACAGGCTGAACAATAGCAAGAGAGGCTCTCTAACCACTTAGCAATAGGGGTGGAAATCAGAGAAACTACACCGAAGCGCCTGAAACATCCGGGGAACTGAAGGAGAGCAAAACACCCCCTCAAAACTCTGAAAGCAGGGATCAAGTATTTATTCTCAACAACTGTGATATCAGGGTTTACGTGTCTAGTTTAGTATATTTAATGAACCTGAGTGAAGGCTTTACGGTTACGTATGACTCTGCATTATTTTAAGATGAAAAATTAATGCAATAGAAGAGATGAGGAGACACAGATAGAAAGAAAATGTGTGTGTGTGTATTCTCTGCTACATTAATCGGTGTAGAGTAATGAGATACTGGTGGGGCTGATACAGGAAACAAAAGAAGAACACAGAGGGGGAAAATGGCAAAGGACAAAAAAAAGGAAGTCCAGAGAAAAGAGACAAAAGAAAAAATGGCAGACGGGCAAAAGCTGAGCAGCACAGGGCTGCACTGTCTTCTATTTTGGCTCAGGTGGGCTCCGGTCCAGGCATAACTCTAACCCACAGGGAGGGTTTTTTGATCACGGCCACTCCCTTCAAAATGCCCCATTTCCACAGATTCTACAAAACACACTTTCACACTTTCAATAAGAAAAACAGGAAGCATGGCACGTCTGACACCGCTGCTGTTTTCTTTCTCTTTCACATGTAATCTCATTTGTACAGGCTTTAGGTGGAAACGTCGTGCACACATACACATAGAGACACAGACAGAAAGCACGAGGCCTTATCGGGCATATCAGGCATGGTTGAGCAAGGCATCATGGATGAATTCTCTCATTTTTGCCCGTCTAGGATTCATAGAGTGAATCGATATGAACAAACAGTGAAAACGACATCAAAATTCTCCAGAGTCCAAGGACGTGTCTTAACAGGCTTTACTTTCCTTTTCTCCACACAACAAGCAGCAACTTTAACGTCTGAAAAATGAACATGAAAAACGAGCACATGTGCTAAAAAATGGAGACAGCAGTTCCTTGATTGGCCGCTTGGATCCGGCCAATTTAACAGCAAAATAAACACGTTCACAGCCTGCTGCAACAAACTCTTCTGGTCTTTGTGGCTACTTTTCCCATGAAAACCAGCTAAATAATCTTGTCAAATCTGACCGTCACTTCAGTTCGTTGACTTTAAAAGAAGGCTATTGCCTTCAGGTTTCTAAATTTGAGCCTCTGGGTGACAACAGACCAGGTGGATGCTACCACATGATTAAATTCTCCCCTCCCAAATAATTAGGTGGTTTGGCTCAAACAGCTTGAGCCGAGTCTAAAACCCGAATCACAAAAACGTAAGACCAAGAGGAAAATATGTGATTGAAATCGTGGGCCCTGCTTTTGTTCCTCACCGTCTGAACAAAACCCAGGCTCACTAAGCTCACTGTAGGCAGGTGACACCCCACAAACTCCAAATATGAACCTCTTGCTGGCTGAGCGCGATGCTTTATCGCTGAAAATCTTCAAGTGTCAACGTCATTAGTAAGTTACGTAAGTAGGACTGTTCCTCCTGAGCGGACATGTCGGCAGCCCGTGATGAGACGCTGCACTTTGGGAAACCTGCTTCATAGCACCACTCAGATGAAGGAGTTAAGACACAAAGTATGTGCTTGACAGGCTCGTGGCAGATTTGACCCTGATAATAACGAGGACCTTTACTGCTTAACCCCGCTGTGAAATATGCACAAAAATGTCCCCTGTGGGCCATTTGTGATTAGGGGCACCACTGGACTCCAGAGGAAAATAAGAGCAACATGTGGCTTTCTAAGCTGTAGAACAGGGTTGTCAAACATAAGGCATGGGGGCCAGAATTGGCCAGGTGAAAACTCCAATCCGGCCCACTGGACAAATTTGAAAAATATGAAGGAAGAGATAAATTTGGGGCTTTTAACTAAATTTTACAACTTTTCTTACTCCACCATGGCCATTCATTTCACACCAATTAAGGAATAGAGAAACAATTAAATAGCAGGGTTTTTTTCACTGATGATACTGCACTTCTTTTTCTTATACTGAGATATTTCAAGGATCAAATGTGTCATTAAAAATCTTTACATTGACACAAGGGGAAGTTTCACTGGTCCGGCCCACTTAAGATCAAAGTGGGCTCTATGTGGCTCTATGATGAGAAATGAGTTTGACATCCCCGCTACAGAAAGTGTTAGCACAGTGTTAGAAGAAGCTAAACAGACCTAGGTTTAAATGATCCACATACACACATTATGTATTCTTACATTTTTAGAGCTGCATTTTTATAAAATCTAGAGTTGATCGCATTCAGATTTGATCAAAAATAAAAAATAAAAACAAGGAAGGAGAAGTAGAAATGATCCGCTTTCTTTCCTCGAGCACTTTAGATAAAATGAGATTTAAAAAAATGAAACTAATGATTAAACAATGTAAATATGAGCAAGCGTGGGAGCAGTGCTGGAGAAAAGCCTTTAAAGGGTGAAACAGAAGGTTCTTGACCTGCAGCTGCTCCGATTAACGTCTTATCAGCATCTCTTTAGATTTCAGTGGATGGCGAAATAAAAGCAGGGAAAAAACAACAAAGCTGGGAAGAAGAAGAAGAAGGAGAAGGAGAAGAAGAAAACCCGAAACCCGGACTCTTGCAGCTGTTACAGGTGCTGATCACACAGTAAACTCACATGGTATAATGTACACTACATTTACTTGGAGCCTGTGTGTGTGTGTGTGTGTGTGTGTGTGTGTGTGTGTGTGTGTGTGTGTGTGTGTGTGTGTGTGTGTGTGTGTGTGTGTGTGTGATACTGAGAGCATAAAGAAACATCGACACACACACAGAGTCAAAGTGGACGTGCTTTAATACGTGAATGTTTTTGTCACTGTGTAATGCAAACTTGCAGCTAAAACTAAGACTCTGCTAATTCATGTAAAGCTGATCACGAGCTAAAGATATGGGTCAGCGATGCATTCTGTGTGTGTGTGATGTGTAAGCATAGTTCAGAGTTTAAGGTTTAAACAAGGCCAAGCAGAAAGAGTGAACGAACGTTGTTCATGCATCCCAGAGATATCAAAAACATCAGTTTTTGTTAACAGAGCTTTGAGCAACAAGACTGTTTCCGGATCACCAGAAATTCCTTTAAATAAACATATTTTCCTATATTCTGCTGAATAAGACTTGAGACTTCACTGATTGCCCCAGAAGCAGCAGACTCGGGGCTGACAAAGGCCCCACAAGTCAGCCCCTCGCCATAAACTCCCACGCTCAAGCACCAGATGTCGAAAATGGAATTAAAATGTTTAATCAACCTTTTTGGTCTCCGCAGCCATCTTTGGTGATTGGATACTGAATGTGATGACGAGGGTGTGGATCTGACTGCGAAGCTGCACGCTCATTGGCTAAAGATTTTAAAGACTTTAACCCTGTCCTTGGATTGACCATAAATTTTAAAAAATGTAATTAGGATTGCATTCAATATGAAGTCTTCTATAAAAGTCATTAAGAGAATGTAGTTTAGGCCCCACTATAGCTCACCGTGCACTGAAGGGCGGAGTCCTTACTGGAGTCTGCCCTGGGCCGCTATATGTGGCACCCACCCCTCCAATAACACATACACACACACTTCTGTCCCCACCTTCTGCTCAGCACTGTTGTCCAGTAAACTAACGGACAGTTTACATCTTTTGTGTATTCACTTTTCAGATCCAGAAGTTACATCTATCTTTTACCGTCTCTATGGATGTATCTGGGGATCCCTACTGGCAGAGTTGTCATGTCTGTATGGCATAAAGAGCCCAACATCTGATCAAAACTAGTCTAGTAGTTGCGCCGAAGTCTGCCATCTGTCAAAGTTTTAGAGTTTACGCAGATGCAAAATCAGTTTGTGCTGCTACTACTTTTGTTTTTATGAATTCCCATTTAAATTGCTGTAAAATGTTGCCATGTCTATAACTGAACACTAAGTGTGCCTGTTAGCTTCAAACATGAGCTGTTTCAGGCTTCTCTCTGACCCCTTCTTTTAAAGTGCACTTGGCCCTCGCTTTGAGGGGCCCCATGAGAGGCTCTCATTTACCTTCCGCCTGACTCGGGCCGTTGAGGATTCCCTCTCTCTAAGGTGTCGTCTCCAGGGGTGATAGGCTTGCTGCAGCCATGGCAACGCACTTGATCCCCACAGCTTACCACAAAGACGAGGAGGGCGGAGGGCATGAGGTGATTGGCCGAAAACCCGCGTTGCGCGAGCACACGCACGGATACACACAAAGTTCTAGCTTAGGCAAAAATGCAGAAAAAGTGTACACTGTGTGTGTCTGAGGGGGACACTTTCAAGCCCACACACCGTTTTCCTCCCACCAACACAGACGCACACACTGACAACTCCATTATTACGTGCCTGTCTGTCAAAGCCGACATGATAACTTAGCCAGCCCCGCGGCCAGGATAAAGAGCAATGCTGCACAGACTGTTACATGTAGCTCAATGACTGACCCAGAAAACACCTTAAACACTGTCACAATGAGCAACAAGCAACCTGAAAGAGTGTGTGTGTGTGTGTGTGTGTGTGTTTGTGTGTGATTATGTCCTTGTTCACGGATGTGCTCGGGGAGTATGGAAAGGATGTCTGCAGAATGCGTTTACAGGCGTGCACATTGAGTGAGCGAGTGGCGAGCTCGTGCGTGCGGGAGCGATGCAGGAAGCGGCAAGCAGCGCTGCAAACGTCCACATAATTCACTGGGATCATAAAGGAAGGAGAGCGCACAGTCTTTTATTTTATTTGCAGTCGCCTGAGGAAACGCCATTGTTACTCTGATGACTGGATGAAAATGGATGCCTGAAAATGTGCCCTTGATGGATTTTGGTGCTTGCGGTTAAACTGTGCAAACTACAAAATAGGACCAAGCGTGTTTTTATTTTCATAAAGTAGCCGCAAAAGAATGGTTTTAATCAGGGAAAAGGCTGGAGCCAAAATAAAGACGGGCACAGAACCAAAACCAACTCTGGTGTTTGTGTATGTGAGTGAAGTGAAGTGATTTTCGATCATGTCACACACAGGCTCGCGTATCCCACCTTCCCTCTGGCAGCAACAAACTCTATCATGTCCACATTACCTCACCTGCCCTGTGGCTGTGTAAACCTAGAAGTGTGAACACACACACACACTTTACACGAGGCTACAATGTACCATGTTCAAGAATATATGTTACTGCCATCCCCATCGTCTCACGGCTTCGATCTATCTGTCAGTGTAACAGACGGACAGCAGCCATTGTTGGCTCGAGGCTTTCAAGAGGCACAACCAACATGCAGACGACACATAAGCGGACGCAAGAGTAACTTTATCCTGTTTGGACCCTCTCGAGAAAATTCCTTCCCCCTAGTTGGCAAAGTCAAACAGCCGGTATGCTGACATCAATGGCATTACCCTCCGAATGATGTGTTTTATCTGCTTGTTGTAATGCTTGAGGTATGTCATAGGCGCCTTTTGTCTGCCTCTTTGTCAGCAAGCTAATGCAAAACTAATACAACTAGGAATCGTGAAATTTCTGGTGGAGGATGGAGGATGGGCAAAAGGAGAATCCTTTTGATCACTTTTTTATTTTTTAAAGTTGACCTTGGTGGAAGCACAGTTCATAGGCAGGCTTTGGCTCTTTGTCTTCTTTTGCTTAATTAATAACAATAAACTTTTGCTCTTCTTTTACATTACTTACTTACATACACAACTTTAGGACTCTGCCTGGTATATACATGTACATATGCAATTAGTAAAAATCCTATTTTTTGTTGCATCTTCAACCAGACTTTGGCTAATTATGATCATGTGACACAGAGGTCTGAATCTGGCCTCTGAGGTACTAGCTACTGCTGCACAGTGACCATCTAATTGTTATTTGAAGGGCCTCGCAGAGCTCACAGCATAAAGCGATTAAGGATCATCAGGGTCGATGCTAATGTTTTGCAGGAAAAAAACCTAATGGTGCAATAAAAGCCGGATCTGACAGGGATCACAGAAGAGATAAAGAGACGCAGGGAGAAGAATGAGGAGGCCGAGAGGCAAGACAGGAGGAGGAGAATATTTTACTGCAGGGAGGGCAGAGCAGCTATAAACTGTGTGGATTTTCTCTTTCTCTCTTTCTACTTTTATGCCCACCTCCCCACGAGAAAAATTCCACTGAATCACTGTCTTTTGCACAGTTAATAAGAGGTTTAGGTCATGCTAGGTGAGGTGTGTGAAATTTCCTCCCCTTAGTAACACCCACACACACACACACAATATTTCACATCGCAGCAGAGTTAGGAAGGAATGTCAAAAATTGGAGAAGGTGCAAAAAAAGCAGACATAAGACAGAAAGGTGTAGTTACTGTATCTCCACAGTCCAAAACACACAATCCACTGTTCCTACTGACCGCTAACTCTGCACAAAACAAACCCGACCCAATAAATTGCAAATGTACCGCATTCATCTAACTTCTCACTACTATTTCATTCTGAGGACAAATCTTTGAGCGACACAACAGGTGATTAATGATAGCATTTGAAGTTAGATGACAATCTAAACAGAAGCGTGCAAGCTCATGATGATATTTATCATCTGTTATTATTACCAGAGCCTAAGCTTAAAGTTTAGACCTGCCACTCTGATGTTGCCAAGGAAAACACAGCCACTGCTCAGTGGGTGTCTACCCACCTGTTTGTCTGCCTGCCTGCCTAGACTCGAGCGTGTTTATTTCACCTGAGTGAATGCTTATACAGGAAGGCAATGAGAACTGACAGATGATGAGCAACAGCACTGTAACTGTGTCCTTTCTGCTTATGCACTGTTTAGGTATTTGTAAGTAGCAGACTCTCCAGGCAGGCGGAGTAGTGGAGCAGAAAAAGATACAAGTGCTGCATGAGGAGACTCCCTTAGCCCTGGGCAGTATGTTTCTGAGTATTAATCATAAAACTGAATATCATGATAATGTTAGTGCCTACCAAAACTACAAAGCAAAAACCTTTTAATCAGATGTTACACATAAAATTGAACTCCTAAAAAAAACCCTGACATTGACTTTATTTACTTACTTGAGTATTTTTATACCACCAACTTGTGCTAAATATTGTTTTGAGAAAAGAAGAAAAGAGGCTCAATACATAAAGCTAGACTGAACCATGGAAAGACATGAGCGTACGCATCAACGGTACCATGTGAGTTTACAGCTGCAGAAGCATAGATTGTATTTTAAAGATGGCCGTTCCCATGACAACCACCAATTTCTAAAATCCACATGTTGAAGCTTCAACTTTAGCCTCAATGTGGTTTGAAACCTTAACTTTAAACCCATGTTGGGTTTCTTGGAGCTTGGTGTTAGCATATTTACACGAGTACTAAAATACCAGCTAACGCTAATCAAGGTTAGCTAGCTTTAGCCACAAACTGTGTGGGTTCAAAACAGAGATGATTTCTACTTCAACCTAAGTATTATACTAATAAAATGCAAGAATGCACTCACGTAAACTGAAGTACAAACTGAAGGCACACTATTTGTCAGATAATTCCATCAAAAGTCTTTTAAGAAGCCAGCCTTCAGTGACTTGAATTAGTGGATATGAAGCCTTTAGGCAGCATACCGATCACCCTACAAAGAAAACAAGCTCCTAATTTGAAGCTTCAACAAAACCTAAACAGGTATAGAATTTGTTTTTAAGTCCTTATGTTTATAAGTTCCTGTGTTTTATGAAATGAAAATGTTCTGGACCTGGGTGTGCGTGTTGATCATTTTTTTAGTATTTTGGAGCAAAGTGGCCACTGGAGGAAGAAAAATATTTGGTACTTTAGTCTTGCCTTAATTTTTCATCCCTTGAGATTTAAGTTTTCTAGTAAACAAAGTTTCCAGGTCTGAAAAATGACACAAGCAGAACTCATTCAAATAGTCAGGAAATGGCAACTGCTTAAAATGAACTGAAAGTCTAACTAGACAGTCTTCGACAGTTTCCGGCAGCTCCACTTAGAGGTCGAGTGGATCATCTCCCTGTATTTTACCTTGTCCATAGCATCCTCTTATGTCACACCTACACTCTGCACGTCCTTCCTTCACTACATGAATATTCTCTTTGGTCTTCCTCTTTTCCTTCTGCATGGCAGCTCCATCTTCAACATCATTCGTCCAATATAGCCACCATCCATCGCCTCTCTAACTCTGTGGCTAGCCTGAGCTGTCCTCTTTCACCATGACAACCTTCAGCTTGGCCTCCTGTGTTTTATAAGAAAATGACCCAACTTCTCACCAGATTTATGACCTCATTAAATGCTGTATACACGCTTTATGGGGTAACTACCTTGTGACTGAGAAGTCACTAGTGTCTGTGGATGCAATGCCCTCATTTTCTTCAGATCTATCCCTTTTTTGACATCCAATTTGTACAAGGTGCCGATGGCCTCAATGTTCAGTTCAAGTCTTCACAAACTGATGCATGACATACGCATTAGCTAACTTATTTATAGAGTGTTGGAAGAACACTGTGGAGAAATGTTATGACTCGTGGGTCCCCCTTGTGTTTATGGACAAACACAGGGATGACGTAATAATCATCCCTTCTACCAGTGACACATTGTTATTGGCACGTTGCGGTAATATCATGCAAAGAAGCAAGTGTCCACAAAAGCAGTGAAGAAGCAGACCGCTAGCAAACATGTAAAAATGTTACGATTTAACTAAATATTGGAAGAAAAAAAACGGCCTTAAAAGTGATGCATGACTTCATAAAGAAGTCTAACAGAAAAGCCAGGTCAAAGCCTTCAACAGCCAAACAACAAACCAAAACCACACCATCTACGACAGCATTTTCTACAGTGGAGACTAGACCAGAGCCAAGTGACAGAGTTAGTCCAGTGGACTGTACTAGAAGCAGAGCGAGGACTAAATGAGACCCAGGCGAAGGGGGAAAAAAAGCCCAGTTGGGGACTAAGCTAGAGGTCAGAGGTTACCTCCTTCTTATTGAGCTCCAGCCAGGCGGTATAGAGAGGGAGCCGCAGAGCTCCGCTGGAGTCCACCAGACTCCACCCGTCCTGGGAGAGAGACACCGTGAGAGAGAGACACTGCATTAGACCTGCAGCTCACAGCCAAGCCTCATCAGCATGCGTGTATGCTCTTTACTCACGTGAACGTGTAATTAGTGCATTTTTTGTGATTCTTTTTATACTTTTTGCTTCTTTTGTATGTGCAGATTAATTGCGTCTTTTCATTAAGAAAAGCAATAAATTATGGAAAAAAAAAAAATCAAAAGTACGGTGACGGAGTGCGTCTGAATCTTTGTTCCCATCAGCACAACAACAGCGCTGCACGCGAGATGCCTTCATGCTCCGCGGTTACATTCGCTACCGACCAATTTGCCGACAATAACGACATCCTACTTGCCCACTTCAAAAACACCTCTCCCACCACCACACAATAGGCTACAACTCACGCACTGCCGCCTTTGGACAAGAGCGACTGTGGCAGATTTACGTCACGCTGTGAAATGCAACGCTGTGTGAAGAACAGGTGAAATTTACAGCAGGAAAAAAACAGTGGAAACATTCAAACACGTGAACTCCCCGAAACCCGGCTACCAGCATGTCGACAAAGCCAGTAACACAACAGGGACACAAGAACATGTGTAGCACTATGTGATGATTACAGTAAGTTAGTAAAAAGTGATCAATATTTTTCCTCTGAGGGGGTGTAGGTTTACCTACAATGTTTGAACATGAACACATGTTGCTGTATCGTATTACAGTTGGTAAAATAGCAGCTAAAGGTAGCTAAAGGCACTGTGTGTGTGTTTATGTGTGATGATAACCTCAACTGTCTAAGGTCTGTGGAAACATCAAGAAGAACAAAGAATAACATGGCCTCTTCCTCTGAAAACACACCCTGACTGGGAATGCAGAGTCTGGGGCTTCACCTTAAAAAAGAAGAGAACTACTTAACCTTTTTTAAAAGCACTTAGTAAAGACAACACACAAAACCTTCACCCATGTCTGTGCAGGAACACGAGATAGCACGCACAGACACAATGAGCCCTGTGCCCTTCATCTGCAGCAAACACTCACACAGAAGTGTATGAGTGAGCGTGACACAGTTAAACACCTAAAAAGGAATGCGTGCCACTCTGTTTTGCGACGGCCACCCGGGCAAGCTGATGTAAAACTGCAACTAAAGGAGGATGGATGACTACTTCAAAACCACTGTCGGGCTCTTTGCAGCGTATCTTAAAAACAGTTATCCACTGAACGCTTGTATGTAAGGCTGCGCGTGTGTGTGTGTGTGTGTGTGTGTGTGTGTGTGTGTGTGTGTGTGTGTGTGTGTGTGTGTGTGTGTGTGTGTGTGTGTGTGTGTGTGAGTTCACGCTGCAAACCCAAATAAATCCTGAAACATCAACAAAGAGATGGATAGAAGCACGAAGACGAGGGTAAGAGTCTGTTTATGTTACAGCACAGACTGAGATATAAGTCTTTGGATCCACTCTTCTGGTGACGAAAAGCGAGACAAAGCAAAAATCTGCATTAATATATTTGTATTTGGTCTTTATTTACAGAGACTATTACCAGGAGCCTCCAATATTTTACCCTCTGAGACCTAATAAAATTTCGGTATGCATGTATTTTGAAAAAAGTTGGGATGCCGTGCAAAATGTAACTAAAAGTCAATTAAACTGACAGAATATGGAATGGATGGGAGCATATGATGCTATAAACCTGTGTACACCTTTCACCACTGACGGTATACACCAATTATATAAGCTTCCAACTAAATAAATTAGGCACTAATGTACCCCCATACCACCAGAGATGCAGGGTTTTGAACTGAGCGCTGACAACAAGCAGGATGGTCCCTGTTCTCTGTACGTTTTGTTTTTGTTTTGTTTTGTTTTACTTTTCCAACGTTTTCTTACCCTTGTTTGAATGTTTTTGAGCTCCTTTGAGAATATTTTGACAATAATTGCTACGTACATATTGTTTAACAGATAACCAATTACTTAACTGAGCTGAAAAACAAGCAGAGTGAAAATCAACTTTGTTAAATTTAAGATTTGCGCGTTTTCGATACCTTCATAACACAAAACTATTTTTTTTAAAATATCAAAGAAAGCCTGTCAGTGGGGGTGAGTAACAGGTCTCTAATTAACCGAGAGGTTCAGTCCTGCAGAGGTGGAATGCAAAACAAACACACACACAGCATATTAAAAAACATTTCACACTACGCTGTGAAGCAATTTGCACTTATGTTCTGATGATTAAAACGCCGCCACACAAGCAACCTCGGTGAGTCCGAGGGAAGAACAGCAAAGGCAAAAGTAAGAGTGAACTTATGGTACTCGCTAAGCCTGTCTGGGAATGCTGTCTGCACACCCTAACTGCAATTATCACAGCCAATATTAGCCGGCACGATACTATGAGCATGTCCAACATCATGTGGGAAAAACACTATAATAAAAATACTGCAAACACACGGGCACGTCATGTCTGCAGACCTGGATTTAGGACCATGAGGATGGGCTACATGAAGGTTAATTATAGGTTATTTTTACATTGTTTAGCTTTAAATATGATATAAAATGTTACTAAGATTGTTGCTGTAAATTCCAACTTATTAATCATTTCCTTGGTTCCCTTGTGTAAATGTACTAACCAACAACATATCAATAATAATAATACATGAAATAGAGCCACAGGATTATTGGAGTACAGCATATGTGGGAAGTAGCAAACTTATATTTACTGTTAACACTCTGATAGTAACTAAAGAGGTACCTGTGGAGTTCATGAAATTAACTTTAAGGTTGTAGTTGCTGCGAGGTTGAGTGAAAACCTCCATGCAGGTGGCCTAGCAGACACACAATCACGATACAACTCATATCCTGCCCAGTGTCCTAAATTGCATCATTTCCTGCAACAAGAAGCATCACTTCCTGTAGTTAACACACATCAAAACCCAGGAGAAAACCTCCAGCTGCTCCAGGAATATCACTTCAACACACTTTTTATCTGTGTTTGCGTCTGTGCATCCTGTTTGAGTATGCTAACACAGTCGGCTGTCCTTGAGTCTTTGCTCTATGGAATCTCAACAATGTCTTTATCCTTCCATTGGTATTGTGTGGCATTCTCTAATAGGGGTACACACATTAGCACACATTCAGAAACACGCACGCTCTCGATTTGTCTGCCCCCCTCCCCCGGATTTAACCGCATGCACATACACGCCCAGCTTTCCAGTCGACTCTCATCACCGCAACAATTGCAAATCCATGTCTGTTGTCATGCCAACCCTCCCCTGACCTTTGACTTTCAGTTTTTATTAGAGGCACCCTAATTCTTCAGATGACAGCTACAGACACTTGAAAAAAAGGGGGCAAACATAAAGTCGTACACAGCTTCACTCGCCTCATCGTTTGACCCAATAAATCATGGTGTGTGTGCATGTGTGTGTGTGCCGTTAAACAATACAATTAGATTGTATGTGGGGCCAACAACCCTGGATTAAGTTGCACCTCCTTGGGACAACTGCTAACTTGTTTAAAGCCAGTGATTAAAAATAAAGCAAGCCATTATCACGAGCTATTACAGGCTTGAGGGAGCTTTGACTTTACTTTGCGTGTGTTGTTTGTTTTCTTTCTATACAAGGAGAAATGTCAGTTTTGGGTTTAAAAAAAAGTTTGCTTTTAACTGGTTGCCCTGAAGATGGCGACCAATCCTATGACTACTTGCAGTCAGTTGCTGTTTGTGACTGAATGGGGTCGAGATGGCAATCGCATGCAATCTGTTTGAGATAAGATGACTGTGTTAAATCTGTTGTCATCTGCATACAATGAAATTCACATTATCTACTTCATTCAGAGTCCAACCAAACCCTCAGATATACAGACCTCATGAAACAGAAAATCCCTCTATTAACAGTGACCTAGTTGCTGCAGGATGGCAATTTAACTGCAAAAGGACATCGGCAACCTTGCTTTTATACGGGAATACAACCACAACACAACCTGTTGGTGCAGACTGACTCACACACTGCGTGTGTTTGAGACAAAGACAGAGAGATCCTATGTGAGGCTTCATCATGTTCCTACATACACATGTCAACAGGCCTAATCTATTGTGAGAACATTACTGCTTTCTGCCATATTCATTTCCACTAATCCCCCCGCCAGTGCTTGGAGGATTATATTACCATCAGTCAATCTGACTTCTGATCATTCAGCACATGAGGAAAAGCTGACCCGGTGTCAGCGCTGCAGTCGGCCTTGGGCTAATTTCACGGAATGTGTCGCCAGCTCTGAAAATCACTGGTCTGTATCAAGACTGACAGAAGCGAAACGCACACGCCCCCCTCCTTCACACACACAAATAACGCTTGTGATACTGGGGCTACAAATGCGTGCGTTCGTGTGCTGCCTACTTGTATCTGCATGCTGGGGAATCGAAAAGGAAGCCTATAGGATCAGTAGAGTTAAATAAAAACAACAAAACAAAAGCAAACTGCACAGAAAGGGAACAAAGCAGGAAATCTGTTCAGACATGGGAATTAATCTCTCGTTTCCAGGGTGGCGTTCTTACAAATACCTGACAACCCCATGGACAAACAAAACAAAGAAGTCTTCCATGTCAACAGACTGTATCCAGAAATAATACCTGTAGTAGCGATGAGCCTTGCAGCAGCACCGAAGCTGGTTTGAACCATTGTTTCTACAGCATCACTATTCTGTCATGAAGTTGACAAAAAGGTCATACAACCTCAAACAATAGACGTACAGATGTAACCCAGAAGCTAACACATAAAGTGCGGCAGCCCGATTCATCAGCTTTGATGAATACGTCCCTGTCAAGGCAACCAAACATGCTCAGGGATCTATAGCTCGTGGACACAAGAAAGGCGAGCAACCTGTGAAATGTGAGAAGCTGTGCATTGTAGGCAAGTGTCAGGCCAAGAATCGGGGTACTCTCTTTAACAGGTTGCAAGACCCAGGTGCTGCAGTAATACGACGCCGAGTCAGTGATGCTACAGCTTGCGGCCTCACGTACATTTAGGGAAATCACAAAAGTAAAGAATAAAAAAGATGGAACAATATTTTTTGGATAGCACGAACACACCTCTTAGATTCCAAAGAGTAAAGGCAGCACATGCTGATCAGGACAGGATCCATTAGCATCGGGAAGATGGTGCATTTAATGCTGTTTCAACTTTCATACACTGGGTTGATGAGTACTCTGTTTTGACAGCAAACGTTAAATGCAGTTATCAAACGTTCAATTTTACAGCAACCAAACACGACACAAAAGCTTGTTCATCCTCAGAAATAGAGCGTTCTCTTATTTCTCGTCTGGCTTAATATTATAAGAACAACGCCTGCAGGGTGGAAGTTTGTCAAGTAACACCAGGAACTGACTGCAATGTAAACCCTTTTAATATAATATTGCAGCTGAAGAGGATACTCAAGCTACACTGCGAAATAATCAAAGTCGGGTTTTTTTCTCATTTAGAAAACAGGACCATCGTGGGAACATTTTAGGAAATCACTTTGAGCTGTGAGTGAAACAAACTAATAATTCCCACGGATGTTGGTGATTAGGAATACCTCTAGACTGTGGCATTATGGAAATATGCTTGGGCTGCATATGGAGGTCATTCACCCTTAACTAAGACAGACATGCTACATTCACTTTAGTGGCCCAAAGGTGAACTTTAACACTTGAAGCCAGGCTATAATTCAGAATTTAGGACTGAAACACAGGGGAACAACCTAACTACACTTTTAGATAATCTCACAAATCACTGGTCAACATCAAAGAAATCCTCTTCACTCCCACAACACAATTCCTGAACTCACTAACCCTCAACCCTGGCTAAACACACTATCACCCCAGTATTATGGATCGCACACCAAAACAGGAAAAAAAAAATCAAATTCAAGCACAAACTCTTCTCTCCCAACTTTGAGCCAGGATCCTTTGTTTTAGTGGTGAGAATGGAAAAGGTTTTCTGGAAGAGGAGGGAAGAAAACACGGAAGCGACCTGACTGCTTGCATTTCTTACCTTGTTGTAGTAATGGAGCTGGACTGAGTGCCACTGACCGTCACTGACTCCACCCGGGACGTAGGGAGCCACTGTGGTCTTTGTCTCACCTGCATGAGAAACAAATTGTTATTAGTTAATTCTGCAACTTGATTTGTGCACATGACTACACGGGCATGCTACTTCTCGATTTGTACACAAGGGCTTAAAATCATCAAATCAAATTGTCAATCAGTGTCAAACTGCTTGCTAAAATTTGCAAAGCGGAGCTGCTTGCAAACATTAGCAGAAAAGGAAGGAGGAAACCCCCCTGAGGATCTTTTATTTATACTAAGGCTGTACTCTCTTTCTTTTAAAGGTTAAAAAGTTTTACCTCGTTGTAACACGATACATGGATCACTTCAATTTTTAAAACATAAACCACTGGCTATTGATAAGTTACTAATAAACATTCACTGTGTCTTATCTTGACATGCATGCACACCACACAGATCGTAAATCAACACGCATTAGTCTGCAGCATCAGTGATTCTCAGTGTGGAGACTGTAGTGCACAACGGCACCAGATTTGCAGAGGGTTTACCCTGTTTGTCAAGGGCAGGAGCAGCCGGGGCACACATCCCCTGCTCTGGGAAATCGGTAAACAGCGCGGCAACATTAAGGACTTGAGTGTGTGTGTGTGAGTCTTTGTATAGAAAGATAAGGAGCAAACATGATTAACTGATGTCCTACTTCGCCAATGAAAAGCACAGAAAGAAAATTACTGCGAATAATCCTGAGAGCTTCCCTCCTACTCCTCTCATTAAACGTGACTCATAATTCAAAACATTAAATTTGATGATTCATGCGTCGAACGTTTAGATATATGTCAGTTTTGAAGCAGGGCACAAGGACTTGGCTTCTCTCCCGAACAGGCTTCACCCAAAATAGTCATACTGAACTGGATTCCTCCCTGTACGCGACCATGGGAAAGTAGACTCAGCTCGGAGAACATGTGTTTGATCTGCATTCAACAGTTACCAGTTGTAACAATGATGCTGGGTGTGTGAGCACACTTGAATGAGTTTAAATGCGCTAATGTTTGTACGAATTGATCTTTCAAAAATGTTTAAAACAAGTAAGTTGCCACTGTCGTGCTGCTTATGGACCTTAGCCATCATGGATTTTGTGGTGGTGTTTTTTGGCCAGTTAGGTGTCACCATTAATCAGTCCTTTCAAAATAAAACACTCCTATCCTTTAAAGCATCATGTTTGACTCTACTATATTTGGATAATTTGTGTATGCACTAACGCGCATTTGTCAAAAGAAAGTGGAGATAGATAAGAATTATGTACCTACGTCTCTGTAAAAGTCACTTTAGATAACGCGCACTTACGCCATATTAATCTCCTTATAATGCAGCCGAGAACTGATACGCATCAGTCGCACACACAAAAGCAGACGATCACGCATTACAGGGCCTAACCTCCAGAGAAGGTGAGCTGAATCTGTTCAGCGATGATCTCCAGGGCGATGAAGTCATGTTTCTCGTTGAACCTGCCGTTGTAGAGGAGCAGGGCGTTTCTTTCCCTGGTAGCAAACCTGAAAAAAATTTTTTTTGTAAAGATGATTAACTTTGATAAAAGGAACTTTCATATATGTGTCATAGAAAGGGCTGCGTGAATTGCAGCTGTTTTTCTTTACGGGATGCTCGTGTTTCCCATCACATTTTTTAACGCCTCTCCAACTCAAACAGTGCGGGACTGAAAGGTCGAGAACCTTGCAGAAAGTTTTATGACGAAAAGAACCGAGGCGTTCTTGAGGAAAAGTCACTTGGAAAGGAAAGGAAGGATGTGTAAAGCACAGAGGAAACGGCGCTTCTGAAGTAGACGGTGCATGACTGTGTCTACATGTGAAAACGACACAAAAGACCTGGCAAATGAGCCAGCACCTACTTGTGTGTGTGTTCTACGGGGTTCAAAGTTCAGATGTGTGTGTGTTTGTCTGTGTGTTTGGAGTGTAAGGTGAGGGCAGTGGAGTCAGCCGGCAGATGCTAGTGAGCCCAGGAGGGCAGGAAGTCAGGATGGCTGAAGCCAAACACTGATAAGGGAATCTAGGAAACAAATCACACAGCCTTTCCTGTTTTCACCTCACTGGCAACCTTTCTCACCGTCACTCTGTCCACAGATTTACAAAATCATCTCACCTATTACTGGTAAAAATGAGTTAAAGTACTTCTTTTTGTAATATTTACAGTACGACTGTTTTTCCTCTGGCGGTTTCACTTTGTTTTAAAAAGTGTGAAAGGCACAAATCATAAATCTTCATGTTCAGATGTACTGTGTGAATTATACCTTGGTTGTTCCTGAATGTGCATCTCTATGTACGTATTCAAGGAGGTGAGACACAATGGAAAAGGGCATGCATGTCTCAGCACGTCCCAGCTGGCACACTTAAGTTTGCTGACTTCCACTGTGTTTAAATTGCTGCTTATGACACGCACAAATGCTCACAGGGTGCTGAATTTTAAATAGTGACACTAAATTCTGAAACCATTCGGAAAAATGTCTTTTTCCATAGTTATTCTCAGCTGCAGTCATTAGCATGTCCAAGTAACTAGCTATTATCAGGGATTTAGCTGAAGTCATATTAGTTTGTCATGTATATAATCATTGTGCATCTATTGGCTTTACAGCTGCTCTGATCAGAGTTAGCTGGAAGCAACAAAAAGTAAGGCAAGCGTAAAACTGTGATACTTTGCTAACATTAACGCGCTTAGCTATCAAGCTAAAGCTGCTAAAATTTTCTCTTTGCTTTTTTAGTGAAATCATCACTAGGGTTTTTATTTTTATTTGGAATGATCATTTATATTAATTAAAATAATGTGTTTCCACACATTAGGCTACCTGTTAATGAATGCCAGAGCTGTTTGGGGTAAACACTGCATGCATTGGGATTCAATACTTCATTATACACAGGGTGTCATTTTTTGATTATTTTTTTATTCCCACAATATGATCCCATTTGTTTTCAGCATCCCATCATTTTACTACTGCTGTTTAAGAGTGAAAACTACCACTTACTAAGTAAAGGAGAAATTAAAGGCAAAGGCATGAACTTGCTGAACTGCAGGTATACACTGGGGTTGCTGTCTGTGGCATCCTACATTTACCAAGAACTGCTAAGAAGGGCATCTCTGAGTAATGACCATTTTTGTGAATCTACTACAGTGGAATATTTATTAATTCCCTTTTTATTCTGAGAGCATTTATTGCTGTTGTATTTTGAAGTTATTTCAGTGTAAATACTGAAGTTAAATTGGCCATGTAGTGATAGATGGAAGGGGAGTTTAATTGTGGGATGTTAAATAATGTGTACTGTAGCATTTTACTGTGAGTGTCAGAAAAGGAAAACATGAGGCTAAGACTATTGAATGTATTCATTTTATATATCCAGGGCTGCACATAAGTGGTCCGCAGGTGCGCATGCGCTGTCAAAATAAAAAACGCGCACCAGATAAGAAGTTGCAACGCGCGTTTGCGAACATAAGACTTTCTGGAGGAGGACAGACATTTGTTTAGAACTCTTAAAGATGTCAAAGAAGCTCCTTTAAGCAATTACTTTGGTGTTCCTCCACCTCCAAAGAAATGTCAGAAGGAGTCCGAACCGCAAAATAAGCATGTCCTTCCCTCCCACACTGATCTGATATTTTTGGACCACTTTTGGTGCTAAAAGGTTAAACAAACTTTTCTGCGCACATGACAAACCCTTTGTTTGTTTGTTTTTTCATAAAGGTGTGGCTTTTTAGGCTTCCTCTTATCATGAGATCTCTTTGTGCAGCACTAGAGCATGAGACTGAAGGTAAAAGTGTGTTTTATACGCCAGATGTGAGAGTTGGCAACCATGCTCCCATAATAAACTGTATGTGTGCCATATAAGAACAGTAATCTTGACAGTTGTAATGGTGATTAGTAAGCAAAGAGGTAGACACAAAAGATACCAAACTTACATGAAGGAGACGGTGAAGTGGAACCTTTGCCGCAGGCCTCTGAAGGTGATGAAGGACTGTCCAGGAAAGCTGCGGGTGGTCATCTCACAGTAGGGCTTCTCATACTCCCCGGGTGGACACTCGCACATGAAACCACCTGCAAGCCGGTTGATGCACGTACCACCATTCTTGCACACACCTGGTACACAGCGGTCTGATGATGCATTAATCTCACAGTGCTCGCCTGCAAGAAAAAGAGGGACCAAGTTACACAGAGCTGTTCTGCATCTTTTTTTTACTGTGAGAAACATTTTGCTGTTAATTGATATGGCCTGTGTTTCTCAGCTGCAGCACTACCAGGGGCGGAGCTAATGGGGGTTTTGGGATGGCACTGGCCCCAACACTATGTTGACATTTTAATGATATCATGGATGCAAATTGTTGACTTCCTCAGTGCATTACTATGAAATGCATAACTAAAAATTAAATAATATATTATGAAAGCTCTTGTGTCAGCAACAGATGCAAAATGAAAAATTTTGAACTAAAGCTTGCATGAGATTTTTTTTTAAATTTCCCATTCTTGCCGGTGCTTGGTCCACCCGCAAATGCAATATAGCAATGATAATAAATGTCATCTGATTGTCTCATCAATTTGTTATCATTATGTTATCTTTTATGCGAAGCGTACCTTCCACAGTTGACTGAAATACAGACCTCACTCAGCCTTAAGGAATCCAGTTGTTTAAACAAGATGCCTTTGATTATCAGCAAAGCACATTTATTCAACTAACATGCACACGTTAAACGTGGCATTAACTTTCTGTTGTTAAAGTCCCTCCAAAAACATCAGTTCAAGAAAGGCACGCCTCCCTCCAAACAGTTAATAACACTGACAAAACCTTGTTTACTGGTCTTTTCTGAGAAGCACACTTCTTAGCCAGAAGGTAATTTGGCCATGTTTGGAGAGAAGAGAGAGTTTGGAAAAAGAGTCACGGTGGAGGGACAAAGACTGCAAAAAGAAAGCAAGCTGACAGGGATAAGACTGCTGGCTTTCCTTCACTAAGCTCAGTGCATGGGCTAAACTTATATTTAACTGCACTTTTAAACTTGTAAACCGAACAACGATCAGATAACAGCTGATCAGTTAAATACCTCTTAGAGTGATTCAAGGTTGGGAACAAAAGAAATCCACTTTTGGATGAGTGCATTCCGGTTTGTTTTTACCATCCTGATAATAAACCTTAGGTTAAGTCACTTTGGCAACATTTTCTGATATGCCCGCAACTAAAGGCATAATACCCCTGCAATTAAACAGAATTTTGATATAATTTATTTATTTAGCAAAGGTAGGCACACTTAAGGCTACTTAAAGGTAGGTACACTAGAAACTACCTTTGGTTTTTACAGGAAACAAAAAAATAACTATACTAAATTTACTAAATTTAAGTACTTTATTAGCAGTGTGTGATTTCATGTTAATTTTGCAGAAAAGCAAACAATAATTCCCCATCTTACATCATAAATACGCTGTGGTTTTTGGGGTACGGGGCATGTTATGGAGTGGATTAATCTTGCCTTTTTTACATCTTTATTGTTTTACTTCTTGGCTAGCAGTATCAGCGAACATGTTAAACCTGTAGCCTCAACCCTTTTCATCCATCTGTGGCTGCTTTGCTTGGCTTCCTGTTCAGAGCTGCTTAAGGCCTGGTCAAACTTACTTGACTACCCATTGGTCATGAGGTTATCGCTACCCTCATACACTTCTCCTTCACATGCTAACTGCTTAACTGAAGCTGCAGGGTGGTATCAAATACATGATATATTACATTATCTAATTTAATTTCGCAACAGGTCCGGGAAGGGAAAATTCCTCTAAATGACCATGTGGTTTTAGCTTTTCCAAAATCAGCCAACTGGCCCCAGCTTCCTGGCTCTGCTCATTTAAAATTCCTACGTAAATACGCCAGCAGGCCTCTTTCCGACTGTAATAATATTTGTGATAGGTGCCACCGCGTCCCATTCTGCGTTTTGTGTCAATCTACTGTCTAGACAAGCTCTACTCTTCCAGGGCACACACAGACCCCCAAAACTGCACAGCTTGGAACCAGGTAATGGCCCTTCTCTCCTCAGCATAATCCTTTTTTCCTAGGGGGAATTATAAGGATCTGTTTCCCTGTAATGCAGGAAACCTGAAGAGGACAAAACAGGCCTTCCCCTTGTCATCAGCCCCATAATAGTCCCTGATGGCCCTTGAGTATCAGGAGTTGAACTGTGACCTTCAAAGAGGGGACACCGAGATGTAGGTAAAGGAAATATGATGGGTGGGTGGAGAAGATGGACATGGGCACAAGGAGGAGAAGGCGAGAAGCAGTATGAGTGACAAAGTCAGATATAATCAGGTAATTACTCGAGATAAGATGGAGGATGAGAAAGAGAGGGGAGGCAGAGCGTCGGGAGACACAGAGGGGTGGGAAGCAGGAGGCTGTCAGAGCCCGTTTAGGCTCTATTAGGGAGAGAAGAGTGGAGACAGTCAGGTATCAGATGTACAAGGGGGAAGTATGGGAGGAAGATCACTGATATTCGGAAATATTTTGCAGAGTGCTTGAATGTGAATGATGAAAGGTTCCGAACTTTCCCATAGCTCATCGACTAACTGAGTACTGAGTTACTTTAACACTTGCAAAACACTTGTAATCTCAGTATTTGGAATATTTAGCTCTGCACTGTTTACGTCCATGTTTGAAGTTAGCAGGCAGCTTGCTGTGTTTTGCTAGTATACTGCTAAACGTCTCATAATTAAGATCCTGCAGTGGTTACCGTAAATGTCGGGCTATAAGCCGCTACTTTTTGCACAAGCTTTGAACCCTGCGGCCTTTAGTCAGGTGCGGCTTTTCTATGGATTGTCCGTGATTTTTATCATATCGTAAGACGATTTGTTTTGTGTGTTCCGCTGTTGTACGGCACTACGTTGCCTGGCGGAAGGATCGGGGTTCAAGAGTGGTATGTTAGTCACATGTCCGTCCGCCAGGCAACGTAGTGCCGTACGAAGTAGCGCGAAAAACAAACTTCAAAGTAGCGGTACGCGTTCAGCGGGAGTCATGGATGATGAGCGGCGATAAACTTGCAAGTTATGCCCAAAAAGCAAGTTATGCCCAACTCCACCGGTGGATTCTGACAGCGTGGAAAAGTGTGAAAACATCCACGATCACCAACGGATTTCGAAGGGCTGGACTGCTGCATGATGGAGAGGAGGACACCGCCACGGCCCTTCTGAGGGTGTTCGACTCCGACACTGACAATGAGGATTTCTTTGGTTTTGAAAGTGACAACGAAGGAGAGAAGAAGAGTGGATGACGAAGCCATCCTGAGCCTGTTCGTATCCGACACTGGAGAAGAGGACTTTGGTGGTTTTAGTGCGCAGGAAGAAGAGAAAGATGGTGGTGAATGACTGACTTTTCTTCTTGTTAAAGCTGTGTCACTGCACCTGAGCCTAAAAGGTAGTCCGAATCTATTTTTCTGGTGTGCTGTAGGTTATTGTTATGTACTAACATGTGCAAATATGTACCCATAACTTGTTTTTCAAAATATTAATAAAAGTGATGTCTCCAAACAGCCATCTCTTTCCTGACAATTCCCTTTGTGCATATTCTCTTACATATGATAAGTCAACATTGAAACACCTGCGGCTTTTGGTCAGGTGCGGCTAATGTATGTACAAAGCAGGATTTTCCCCTGATTTTAGCTTGTGCGGCTAATATTTAGGTGCGCTTTGTAGTCCGGGAAATACGGTACTTTGTTTTTAGCAAACGTTTACCTGAAGTAGTTTTTCCTTTTATTTTAGACCTCTTGTGGGAAATGTGCAGCTGTTCGTTTGATATGCTCGATTCTTTTTAGACTTCATGATTCAGTTTTTCATGCTTTGTACCACTTTCAAAGAAATATAAAACGTTAGGAAATTCTCTTCTGAAACTGACTCCATGCAATCCAGCAGGATACACAATTCTAGCACTCTTTTTGCAGGATTACCCAGATCATTAGTAGGATGACTTCTCATTCAGACTGATTCAGAATGAAGCAGCAGCCAGACTCCTTACACGAACATGCTAATTTGACCATATTACCCCAGTGCTGAAGTCACTTCTCTGGCTCCCAGTTCAATACAGAATAACCTTTAAAATCCTTCTACTGGTTCATAAACTCAATGATCTGATCCCCCACTACACTGTGGACTTTCTCAGTGTCTATAATCCAGCGCAACCTCTCAGGTCATCAAGTGTGTTGATGGTGCTTTCAGTTACTGCGGTGTTATTCTTTGGAACAAGCTGCCCTCTGACCTGAAGTCAATTACACTTGTGTCTTAATTCAGAAGAACACTTAAACCTTTTAGCCTCACATTTCTTTTACATTTCACTGTATGTGCGCATTTTAACTTATATTTAGATCTTTGTAAAGTTATTCAGTGTTTACGGCACGGAGTTTATGTGTAAATAAATACGCTACATACATAAAACTGTTAAAAAGTTACAGGTTAGAAAAACAAAATAAAGATGAGCATAAACACGCTGAGATGCTCTGCAGTGCCAAGATGGATTACAGAGATTAGTTATAATTCTCTGGATTTGTCCCTACAAGTCATTCCTTTTTTAATTATAACTTTCCCATTGTTAATAGAAAAATATTGATAGGAGCAGCTTTGAATTGTACTGATCTGTTGAGTCTTGGTGTGTGACTCACTGATATATGAGGATTAACAGGCAATTTGTTTACTTGCCAGTACTCTTTACTCGTCAAAAGAAATTAAAGCTACTGTGGTTTTGGAAAACAGGTGAAATGTTATTTCAGATGAAGCTGGTCTGACTGGTGTAGTGAGGATTGTGTACACCCCTTTCCAGCAATACATTTCGTGTACTGTATGCATGTGTGGAAGCAGGTGGCTTTACCTGCGGTGCTACAAAGCATGTCCTTTTTGTACTGGGGTCAACCTCAAGCTACAACAAAGGGCTCTGAGACCTTTTACAACCCGTCTGTGCGGTTTAGCAGGTTTGCACAGGTTATTTAAACTGTTATCACAAACAAAATGAGCTCTTGCACATGCTTATAATAGACTTTTCATATGGTATTGTTGTATATGTGTAATCGGGGATACACAACATAGTTTAGGTAAAAAAGGCAAGCTGATTGACAGCTTTGAATCACTCAATACCTTCTTCTTTGTTTATTTCTTTTTAACTCACCTGTGAAGTCCTCCAGGCACTCGCAGGTATAACCGCCCTCTCTGCTCCGACACCTCCCGTTGTTCTTGCAGGGCCCTGAATAGCAGAGGTCGATCTCGGTCTCACAGTATTCTCCGGTGAAACCGACCGGGCAGCGGCAGCGCAGCCCGTTGATGGGGTGGATAGGTCGAAACAGAACCGTGTCAGAGGCGATGAAGGGAGGGGAGCTGTCAAACTTCAGCACTGATACACACTTCATATAGTTCTCGCAGGGCTCCCGTAGGCAGATGTTATCATCAAACGGCAACACCTGAATGGAAGAAGGAATTTTAGCTACATTTATTTCTTCTACTAATGCTTCTGATGTTTTTGACCTCAGGACTGTGCGTTACCTCTTGAGTGGATATGAGCCTGAGTCGAGTCCTGTGGAGGTAGATCTGCTCCTGCAGCTCCTCAGATGGGAAGAACATGCCTTTACCAGGAGCCCCTCCGGGCTGCAGCGCCGAAAAGGTTACGTTGAGGATGGAGCCTTGGACGTCGGTGTCGTTTTGGATGTTAAACACAAACACTGCTTCCCGCTTGGTGGAGAGTACATCCGCCACTCCCTCAAGAAAGAGGCTGAGCAGGGGAGATAGAAAACGCTCCTGGGACATGTTCTCCAGACGAACCGTGATGCTGTTTGTCAGCATGTCATCAGTGATGATAGTGACCCGCAGTGTGCAGAGGGCAACAACACGATGGATACCATCTGGAAAAAAAGAGGAGGAAGATATTTTGCCTTTACTTACGGAAAGCTCCAGATTACAGTAAAAGTCTAACAAGGTAAAATGTTCAGAGAAAACAATGTACCTTTTTGGAATAAAGAGCCCTCGGATATAACAAGCAATGAAGTGAACTCATACAAGCAAATTTACAGACAATTGCAAAAGGAACCCAACCACAGTTTACATGGTTAAACTTAAGGCTCACACTGATCTTGGCTCACAAACATGAGACACAATACCAAAACTTATTATCAAAACAGAAGAAGGTCAGAACAAAAGTTGTAAGCCAAAACATTCAATTCATTTTTTTTAATATAGTTCCAAATCTTAACATAAGTCACAACAAAGTGCTTTATATTATAAGGTAAGGACTCGACAATTATCGAGAGAAAACCTCAAAAATTAGACGGCACACTAGGAGCAAGCACTTGGCTACATTAGAAAAGAAAAACTCCTTTACATGTCATTGTATGTAGACTTTAACACAGAAATAATTTCACCTCCTGAATAGCTTCACATCTCTTCTCTCATTTCTCTCCTATCTCTTCACCCTTCATGTCAAGAAAAGTCAGGAGGAATCACATCTGTTATCTCTGCCAATTCCAGTCTGTGTTTATCTCAGACTATCTTCAGGAAGTCCAAAAACTCATCTAACAACTTGTATTTGAAAATAAAAAATTCCAAGAGATTCTTTGAAAATTATTTATTTAATTAATTTAATTGATTTGAATAAATTTAATTAATTAATTATTTAATTGAATTACTCTGATTTTGGACAGCGGAGGACAAAATCGGGTATTTATTTTCTTTATTTATCTTATTTATTTATTACTTCCAATAGTGCTAACATACTACACAGGGCATGAACAAGATTTTATTTTTAATTTTCATTGTAAGTGGGCTAAAGTACTTAATTTAAAGTAGTCTAACATAAATGTAAATGCTGTGATTTGATTATTTTAATAAACCATGTAACTTGGATGGATTCAACGCTGGCGTGACCACAGTGCACACGTCTGCTGTTGCTCACAGTGGTCCAAGGGACTGCTCAGGGAGTTTGTGCGTTCGCTCACACACGTGAAAAATTAAAGGGAACATTGCTATCAAGCCTTTTTTTGCAATAGTTAGCTTGCTAATTAGCCACCATCATATGAATTCATAATGTTTCTCAAAGAGTAAACAGCAGATTTACATTCCACTTACATTCTGGTACAAGTTTATAAACCGTGGGGCGGGATGAAAACAGGCATTGTATTTTTTTTCATTAGATAAAATGACAGTCATCCATGGCTAATTTTATTAGCAATAGTTAGCCAGCTTATTAATGCGCAGCTAAAAACTCTGCCCTTCAGGAACTTTTAATAGATCTTCAATGAGAAGTTCACAAAACTGTTTTCAAAAGCAAAATGAATAATTTGTAATTTCTCAGGTTATTGTGCCTGGGAGCCACTATTAAGTATGTCTCAGCTACATGGAGTACCTTTAAGCCACATTGTCTGGACCCAATCCCAAATCTGCACTACTGCTTGACAGCTTGACTTGTTTACTGTGTAACACTTTTGCTGCTAGATTGAGTTAAGAAATTTCAAGTTGGTGTAGACTCAATCTTATTCAAGCCTTGACTCGGAGTAATTAGATTAGTCTAGGATTGCCGCCCCCAGGGTCATGCCTACTTCTTGCAGAGCTCTGTTGCTTATGAAGGGAAACAGAAGGCTCTTGGCCTGAGTGAAATACAGCAGGCAACAGGTGGTGGGGCCAGATGAAATTTGCTGGTGGGGGATAATACTGTTGAAGCTACGAAGGGAGATGGGTCACATTGCACAGCTTTGCTAGTCCATGAGCACATGAGTGTGTCATATGTGTTTTCGGGTTCACGGTGAGGTCCGACCACAGGTGCCCTGTCACTCTCAGGCTTGCATGAGATCACTTCTCAGGCACTTAAACTCTTCTCGCACACATGAAGATGCACAGATGTCAGTCAGAGCAGGGTGCGGACAAGCGAGTTCTGGATGCCTGCTAACCAGACTGGAGGTCATTTCCAACCGCACACGGACAAATAACTCACAATGGGAAGCAACATGGGGATCGGCTACTTCAAAGCAACCGAGAAACTGCTACGTTGGGGCTCCAGGGATTGTAAGGGAATCATCGGCGGCACGGATAAAACAAAACAAACACACAAGTGTAGACACACATTAACGTCACTCTGCAGGGCAGTGAAATTACACAGCAGCTGCTCTTTATCAGACTGCTGTAATGTGCTGGAATGGAAGTGCTCATTCAGCACAGCACTAACAGGCTAGCTGCTAGAGTAGCTGCTAGCCAGTGTGTTTATTTCTCTAAAGTTTTCAGCACCTGCCTCTCAGTGTGTCTCTGGGAGGACAATGTTATCTCACTTGCTGCAAGAAATCCATCACCTGGTATGCTTGAATACACATATCCTGCACAGATGCAATAAAATATAGAGAATATATGAAGTTATCTTTTAGGAACTGATTTTCGACTTTGATTGCTTGATGATTTTGTACACTTCCAGTGCCAAGTGAAGACATTATACCAGAGAGGCCTAGCGGCATCATCAAATAACTGCCTAAGCATACATAATAGGTGTAGACACAATATTTTATTGTTTTCCCTTATGGTAAAACAGGTAGATCTTTACAAATTGTTAGCTTCTTAGACCGTGTGAGCGGCATATGAGCAGTAACACCAAAGAGCGCTGTGAGAGCCTGGCACTGGGTCTAAAAGTGATGGACCATGACAGAAAACATAATAGAATTTGTAAGGCAAATCTCACATCGGCCATGCACTGACGGATAGTCAATCGTAATCGACACAGTGTGACAATTCTGCGTTCATTATGACCTTTTGGCCAAGAAATAATGCAAGAACAAGTATTTACATTTTTAAAGGTTTCACAAGGTGTTTGTTTCCTTTAGTTTTCCAGAGACATCTCAGGCCAGGCTATTTATAGAGCCCACCAGCTGCTAACATGGGATCACACACATGCAGAGGATGGGCTGGACTGTGGAAAGGGTGTGTCACAGGCAGCCGACGGCATGGAAAAAACACATTCTGCGTAAGTATGCCACATACACACAGACAGACACACCACAGTCACACATAGGTGCCAACAGGTCTGCAATGTTTTAATAGACAACCCTCTGATTAAAAACAAGCTAGCAGCATGCAAGCCGTGCTGCTGGCCACTTTGGATGGAAACAGTTTATTATATACACGTTCCCTTATCTTAATTAGCTGGCAATATTCTGCACTGCTTGATTGACTGGCTAAGTTCAGTAATGATAGGCAGCACGTTCAGGCTACATTATGACTCACTTATTGCACCTTTACAGTCTTACAGCGTCAATAAATATAAAAAACACAGATTAGAGATAAACAACAGAAAAGGAGACTCATCAATGGGCCACACATGCTTTGCAGGTGGTGAGGTCTGCAGAGGTGATAAGACCTGATAAAGAACTGTGAGACAAGCCACACCGGTGACAACTGACCACACACACACAAACAAACACACACACACACGGATGTATACACATAAAAACCTTGTGTCGATTGACAGTCAGTGTGCTTCCCTGACCACATTTTTCTTAAAAGTAGAAAGGCTGTCTATCTCCTTGAGAAGACCCCAACAATCAAATGATCCCCTATGAACTGGCACTCGGCGACAGTGGGAAGGAAAAACTCCCTTTTATTAGGAAGAAACCTCCAGCAGGATCCAGCTCAGTAATATTGCAATAAAGCGGCTCGACTGTTTGTTGTGATTTGGCGCTATAAAAATAAAATTGAATTGTACTGAATTGTTCCCGCTAACTCACGCACTCTGTGTTTGTGGTTGGCGCTATCGTGTCAAACCCAGAGAGCTGACACACATTGTGGCCAGCTGTCACTGTGACGGTCACAATGTGTGCAAAAACAAACAAGATGCTCGCATAAATGCAAACGTCTGTGGTTGTTGAAAAGTAGAAACGGGCTTACGCTGCAGTTCAGCTTCACTTTGATTTACATCAACCACTAGTAAGTAGCACTATTAAGCCTTACAGTTTGAACCTGTGCTCATGAGGTCACGCTGTAGTCCCTTTCAACTCTGGTGGCAACTGTCTGAAAAGTGTAAAAGCCAGCGCTGGTGTTTAGTCAGGGGAGGGCGGGCAGTAAAACAACAGAAAACAAACAAGACATTTGTATCTGTGGCAGCTTTCAGAGAGGTGACAAGCCCACCAGAGAGAAACACACACACACACACACACACATTTCCCCCCATCAGCCCCCACTGAAAGGTAGATGCTAACACACGCTTTCCTCTCTAACATTAGAACGCTATTTTATACATCTTTTCATTTTAGCTTCCCCTCTGAAGATAAATCCATCCTGCTGGCATTTATATTTATTTCTGACTAAAGAGAATGGCAATTGAGAGCTTAAAATGTCACAACCACAGGGGACGTGCCCTATTAGAAAAGACGGAAACCTGTAAGGAGACGGGGGGGTTGTGAAAATTCTCTATATTCCAGCACAGTTCGTTTTATAGGTTGTTCTTTAAGCTAATTTTTCCCTTCAGTTTTCTCTTTTTTTTCTCTTCTGCCTCTGGTTTAGAAGAAAAAGTTTAAAATTTTTGAACCAATACAAAGCCTGTAACCTTTACTGGCTTGCAGCCAATCACTGGGCTGAAATTCAAACAACAGCCCCTCCTTCTTGGACACACCTGAACACCTTCAGCCTATCAGGAGGGGAAAACAAACGCCAAGCTTGACTTCAGAGGTGATCTAACACAGAGACTCTTTGAATAAGGCAAGCTGGCAATGTTCCACCCTCTCTTTTTCTCTTTTCCGTTTTCTTTCCCCTTCTTTTTCCAGCCCACCAATAGGAAACGCTGCCCAGAACAATAACTTTCAGGTGCTCTGAACTGATCTTTCTCATCTTTTTGCTAGTCCGCTCTGCCCTCTTTATGTGCTCCATTAAAACGTTTTAGCTTTCCTCAAAGGAAGCCTTCCCCTCGACAATAATCTACAACTGTTCTGTTCGTCTGTCCAGCAAGATGTCAAGTCTCCTCTCGTTTCCTCTCTTCTTCTCTCTCACGGCAACCGGCGCCAACATTGGATCACATATCAGCAGCCTGCAAACACACGTACAGACATCCTGTATGCTGAATGTGGAGGGAAAGCACACTGCAAAGAGTAACTTAGGTTAGCTCAATCAATGGGTCATCAATCAAAAGACTTAAAGCCAGCATAGCAGGAAAAAAAAGATGAGCGGAAAAAGGACATTTGTGAGGGCAGGAAATGAATGAGAAATGCCTATGCAGCAAAGTACCACCTAAAACTAGAAATGAACTCAGCTGGACTCAGTGTGCAAATTGTTGAAAATCAAAATCGCTGTTGCTGTCTACATAAAAAAAAAATCACATTTAACTATCACATTTGAGCTCAGCAACCTTCGAGCTCTATAGGAACATATCCAGAGTCGAGTCCCAATGGCAACACGTTGGTCTGCAAATGTCTGCATTTGTATATTGGATAGCAATTATTTGCAAACTTTCAACAGTCTCTCTGAGAGCGATTGCAGTTAGTCCAGGTCAGACTGCAACTGTTAGCAGAAAGGTTGCCTCCTGTCAAGTGACCTGTGCAAACACTTTGCGATCGAACGTGGTCATGAATGTGCACAAGCTGTAATCCATCGCAGCAATGAGGTCGTTGTCCTATTTTTACTCGCGTGACTGATCCATCAGCTTGCTCTGTATTAGGAAGCAGCTTTGTCAAGCTAAGTGTCTCTAGTGTTTTTTGGTTGAGCTGATTTAATGTAAGTTTGCTTGGCTAACGTTATTTCAGGAACACGGTACATGAGATGAGCCCTCGAGTTCATAGTAGTCTCAGACTATTTACAAGATAGCTTTTATTTAGTAAAATGTGGTGTCCATGCATTGATACAATTAAGCTAAAGAAAATATGCTGTATCCCCCGCCCTTTATTATGCATCCCATAACAAAGCATGATTTACAGTTAAATGTTTAACTATGACAAAGTGGTCATTTTAAATGCAAACATGGGTTAACCAGGGGTTAACTGCAGGAATGTCACAGGCAGCAGGTTAACAGATACAGAAAGAAATAATAATTTACTGGTTCTAAGAAAAGTCTGTTAGGTCACATTATAACAGTGCCTTTTCCCCCCTCCCTGACATCTCAAAACAACCTAACCCTAACTTCATGCAAGAGGTTAAATTCTTGCACTCTGACAAAGTGATTTCTGGAGGAAGAGCACAAAAGTTCAACTGCAGCCAAGCATACCTCGCTATCACAGCTCTCCCCTTCAGCGCTATGGAGCTTCACTCTGCAGCCACTCGCCTGCTCATGAGTTTGAGTGTTTTCTCTCATATCTGGAAGCACTCAGCGAAAGCCCCTCTCATCTCCTGCCATATTTTTTCTCAGGTATGCCTATTTGATCAAAGTGTTGCAGAGAGAGTGAGGCTAAGTTTTGAACCCTCACACTGACACGTGGCGATAAAGCTGACAGGAGAGCGGCCCTGCAATCATACGGACAGGGGGGAAAAGGGAGGGAAAGAGGAGAGAATCTCTGGACACGGAGACAGTGAGAGATAGGGAGGAAGGCAGTGTTATACCACATGTTGTTTCACATGCAGTAGTTGAAAGGGAAGCTGATTAACTGCAGGGACGGGGTTATCTTGTAGCTCTCAGGGTGTTACACAAAGCACCTTCCATCCTTCTCTGACTGTAGTGACCATTAGTATTCCATCGTATTAGTACGATTCCCTTTCCTTTAATTTATATCGTTTCTTCAAGTTATCAGAAACCCCCTAAAAAAGTATACAAAAGACTCCATTCACCCCTGCACTGAGTGGTGGAGTAGGGAAGGGGCGTTTGTGAGGTATGGGTGTTGGGTGGACGGTTGAGCGCTCAGGCTGTCAGAAAGATAACATCCTGGCCACAGCCGGAGAACAGGTGGGATTACACGCAGACACACTGACTGAACCAGGATCAGTGAGAGAACAAATCAAACAGAAGGCAAACAGGTGGGATGTCAGAGAGAATGAACTTTTGGGTCCCACGGCACAAATGTACAGCTCACATTAGAGAGCCCGCTTGCTTTAAGCTGCCCACCAGTTCAGTGGTAGTTCTCTTTTGGTCACAGTGACAACGTGTTTCCTTTGTTTTTTTTGATGACTATCCAAAAGTTACTCTTAGATGAGAAATAAACCATGAAGGTTCCTCTGTCCACTTCATTTTTATCTCTTTTTTGACCTGTCCCACTGTTAAGATATTTGTCAGCAGATATCTTCCAAGATATCTGTTACAGCCTAACTCATTATATAGCATTATGCTATAACACATATAATGCCAGTGTAGACTAACTTAACTAACTAACTGTACTTTTCAAAACCAAAACCGGTACTTCTTGTTCTCGACTACTGTTGGTACGTACTGAGTAGGGTTGTCAAAAAAATATTCACTTTAATACTACTGATGCTAAAAATTATTATTGGATTAGCATTAAAGCATTAAAATGATAATGTTAATGCTGCAGCTAAGGAAGAAAACGTTATCAGTACAGCCTGTTTTTACACAGTATTAATTTAACAGAACACAATTATTTTTCAAGTGCGACTTTCTTTAAATCCTTGATTGAAGCCAAGAAAGCAGCAACTAGACAGAAACAGTGGCAGCAGACCTTACCGAACCAATCAGATCAGCACTGAAATGTGGTGCCAAGACACCAGAACCGCAGGAAGTAAACAGATCTGTAGCTTTATTGTTTGAATCTTTATTTTAAAAGATGTGCCTTTTAATTTTGCATAATTTCCTGGGTATCAATTTCAAGTTTGAAATTCTATGTCTCATGACAAACTTACTTGAACCATCTGTACACATGATTTAGTATCAAAAGAACAATTTAAAAAATGCATAACAAAAGTAGCTACATAGCCCCATGTCATGTCCACATTCAGTAAAAGCACCTTTTTTCTCTCCTAAAAATAAAATATTTCCAAAATTGGTTTTATAATATATTAAAAAACTTTTTTCAAAAACTGTGAAATGCTGGTTTGGGTACATTATAAAGTGGAGTGGAATAACACTTGAAGAAACACCTGTTGTAGACCAACTTATTTTCATCCCAGGGTGTCAGATACTCTTGTTTTTGTTGTTGTGTCAGAGACGCAGACAAAGTTAGGAACAAAAATGGGCATCGTACCCGAAAGTTCATAGTTTTATCCCATATAGTGTGTCATATGAGTGATACCCGATGCTGCATCTGAGAAGCCTAGCGACGTCTCAACACAAAGAAATTAGAAATTTTTTTCAGATCTTTCGTGCCAGTTGGATCTGTCCTGTTGAGTTTTTTTCAACACCTCTTCGGTGCACAACTCTGAACACAGTGAAACAAGAGGAACCACGCTATCAGTGCAGCTATGTGGAACAGTGACATAAAACGCTATTATAACAGATGTTTTCTGATCTCAGCATTAAGTCATAAAAACCGTGGTGAACAATGTTGGATTAAATTTTATATACTCTTCTTCTTGGTCCTACCCACATATCTGTAAGGGTGTACTATGGGGGGAAACTACCCCTGTATAAAACCTTTGACTTGCCACACAAGGGAGTTCAAAAGCTCCCACTGCTGTATCAACTACTCCTCCACCTTCACCTTTAATCAGAATGGACTTTCACAAGCTCTCCACAAGTGCCCTTAGTGGCAGTACTTAAGCAGAGCACTCAGGGGCATCGAGTGCCAGGCCAAGAACCCACCCGGCTAGAATATCTATGTCCCATTTAGGATCCCTGGGAGAGAAGGGGTGAAAAGAATAGAAGCCCTGTTCCTTCCCAGACAATGCTAAACAAGCCCGGATAGGGAGGCTAGACAATGAAAATGAGCCCAAATGAACGCCTGGCTTGATTTTGTGCCTGAGGGTTGACTGGTATTAGTGTACTTGTTAGCTCATCGCCTTGTAGACAACTGCCATAAAATGGTAATTAATCACAGGCCAGGAGTGCAGATTTGGACATGAAATTGAAATCAAAGATTGAGCGAAGAAAAGGCATCCGGTTTGTTGTTGTGACAAGATTCTGACTTCTTGATGATACAATCATTACCTGGTAGTGACTGACATCACATTCTGGTGTTAGATTGAGAACACCCTCGAGATGGGAGGATGGGAAGTGAAAAAGAGGAGGGAACATTTTGGGAAAACAAATTTACTCATCCACCACCCAGTGTAAATCAATGTGACATAAATTCTTTCTCTTCAAAATTAGGTAGATGTCATGCGGCGCTTACCCTTGCCTGGATCACACAAAGTCAATAATGACATTTAAGAAAGCCAAACACCAGTTGTGTTGCACAACATTACGACTGGAGGAAGCCCAAGCTCGAGAGTGAGCTATCACCCAACATTAGCACTACAAATGTGCAGGCAATCGAAAGTGCTATCAAATCTCTCTCAGTGCAGCACTGCTTTTATAATT